CTCGGGGAAGGGCACTCACTGCCCGCGACGAGGGGTGCGCGAAGAGGCCGTGGAGCTGTCGGCCAAGCAGCAAAATCTGGGGGGGGCTGACCAAGGATTCGCTGATGTACTCGGGCGGCCTGACAGTACATAGTGTGTTGAGGGCACGGGCTCCGCGCTTAACTACCGCGGGGCGGCGGGTCTGGTGGCCCAGCGCGGTCTTTCGTCCTGAGGGTGGGAAGAGTGAAGGATTGTGTGGGGCGAGCTCTCGGGTCAGCCGCGTTGGGTGAGGTTGACGTTGTTTCGCATACTTCGCGGCGGAGGCGCTGTGGGAAGACGGTCTGTCCCACAGTGAGCTTTGGGAGGCTGGCGTAAGGCTACGTAGTTTGCAGTACATGCTTGTGCCACTCTTTCCTGGAGGGCTGAAATTCGGACCGTATTCTCGGAATCCGCTTCCGAATCCAGCAGGCTGGTCTAACTAGCGGAGTCTGGCTCTGCCAATTTGTCGTCAATCTCCTTGAAGAAGGGATCCGAGTTACACAACAGAGGCAGACAAGGAACAGTAAAAACCCACTTCTGGCGACAATCATTTTCACCATTTTCGCAGATGAGTTGCAGCATTGTCTTTGTCTAAACTCAAAATTTGTAGAATGCCCCTTCTTTGAAAGAAACTAGAATGTCTGCAACTTTAAACAAAACACTGTGCTTCTACAAATTTGAAGTCTGAGCACCATACTACTCAGAAGTATATAGGGGACTACTCTCCCCTCGCTGCACATCGTCTATGACTTGCGATTCCGCCCAGGCGAGCAGCGGGGAAAGAGTAACCTTGCCGTATCCCTTCGCGCATCAATGAGTACCTTGACGTGCAGAAGCAATTAGCGAGAAACGCCGCTCGTGGCCAATAGTCGAAAGCTGGAAAGCTCCTGGCTCGTTCCAACCCAATGCGCGCTGTTGGAAGTCTAGCCGTGCAGCGGCTAGGTTTGTTTGGAGGATTGGCAGGTCTGAAGGCAGCACCACTTCAACCAAAAAAATGGTACGATGCAGGAAGTGCAAGCACGTGCTAACGTCCTGTATCAACCATCCAAGAGGGAAGAGACTGATCAATAATGATGAGCCCGCTGGCTGTTGCAAAGCAGCAAATACAGCGAAAGCCAAACAGCTCTTGGTATTACTATCTGATGTCACCAGCCGACATGATGTTCCTCGCGATCCGCATGGTGCAACGTGAAGGCAACCCCAACGCGGCACGCACGGCTCACCAACGCACTAATACAAAAAATGCAAGCAGAATCAGAGCTTTCATTCATTCGTGGAACTTTACATAGCAAAAAGGCAAGGCAAGGTGCGCAAACTCGGCTTTCACACAACTCATTTCTCTCTACGTCAAGCCCATCGGGGGAACGGCGACAGCCACACCGCTCCTTTATTCCCTCGCCGCTGGACACGAACAGGGGCGGCAGGTCGACGGCAAGTAGAAGGATGCAGCCCAGCACGCCGCCGCTTTCCCGTCCTGTCCTCGACCACGGCGACAAAAATCAATGTCAGGCGCCCAATGGCCTGTATGACTAATCGCCGTCTTCAAAACAGTCACATGAATAAGGGCCTTCTCCAGCGGCCCAGTTTCTCCCCCCTCTACCATCGGTCATTGAACGAAGCAAGGGCCCTAGGCGGGCCTGCTGCTGATTTGTTTCAAATGGTTCAAAGTACAGCGCGCCTCTTGGGTCGCCGCCCCAACAGCGGGTGGCGGACGGGGCCACATCACTTAGGAATAAGGGCGCGTATTTCCTCCATAGTCTCCCTCCAGGTTCCCTTCAGGTTCTTTTTGGGTTCCCACCGGATTCCCGTTCGCCGGATGAATTGCTTGAGGCGGCAAGCGCGTCCAAAACTCATGCGAGCCTACACCCCCTACTATACACGACTCACGCAGAAATGGCTCTCCTCCCTCCCCAAACACATCCAAGGCGCAAAACACAAACACACCACACTCTACGCCCTACATGCCCACCCCCATCTGCTTGTACGACTTGTCTTCTACATCCCTTATCAATCATTCCCATGGCCCCCCAAAGAAAAAAAAGTCTCATAGGATCCAATTCCACGGGCACCCAGCAAATATTTAGCTGCATTTTGTTGTAACTCTTAGCCCAAAGCAGCTTGAGTGTTTTCCATCCCAACAGGGAGGCCGCAAGCGCACAGACCACTGCGACCAAACACGTTCGACAGCCCTGTATGGCCATGGAGCCGCTGGGGCCGTGGGCAAGGCCAGGACCATCAAACCCATCTGCATGGCTTTTTGGCACATTCACCAGGATCCAATGCACGTCCCAACCACTCCCAATTCTCCAGCGACCCAACTCCCACTCGCCCCCACCCCAAAGAAAACAAAGTAAGAAAGGAAAACAACCACTCTCCCTCTATCTACGGCCTGCGAGATACAGACAAAAGTATTCCTCTCGTGCACTGTACATCGGAGAATGTACATCTCACGGATGGTACATCTGTCAATGGAGAATGGGCGTCAGTCAGGCCCGATCAGCAGAGGCGCGTGGAGCGCCGCAGCTCGTCCTTCACAAGCGAGCGGCAGATGGGGCAGTCACCGCGAGAGCGTAACCAGCGCGTTACGCAGCGTGCGTGGTACACATGGCAGCACTGCGGCAGTACCGCCAGCCTCTCTCCCTTGCTGTAGTCCTGGGCAGGCAACGAAAATGGCGTCACAGAGCGAGACAGCGTAGCACACCAGAGTGACATTACACAGCAAAGCACTCTGCGCACTGAATGTGTGGACCTCAGCCCAAATCCACAGCGATTGATAGTAAATATCATTCACGTTAATACTAATCAATGTTAACGTTAAATATCATTTACGTTAATATTAGTGCACACATTGACAGTTGAGGTCAAGTCATGGAGCAATCGATTCTCCTTTTCTGGCCCCGCGCATACCTGGATAATTCTTCCGACCATGGTGACATTTGACTTCACATTTGCGATGCGGCCCATGGTCGGAACGGTAGGCCTTACAGTAGCTTTCACATTTTTGCACTGGTAAAGTCTTCTCAGTCTTTCCAGCAGTTTGGCTTCTGGTTTAAGGTTACACAAGCTGGCACTTCAGCAGACAGTGCACCCGCAAAACCGCACACAGACTGACAAATCAAAACGAAAGAAAGACACAAACACGGAAAAGGAAACACAAACAAACGAAAACCGGTGGGAACAAAAAGGCAATAGCGGAGAAGGCAGTTTCAGAAAGGCCCACAAAATTGGAGCCTAGTCACACACCTGTGAGGTCATCGGTCTCCATGCACAGGCGGAAATCACGAGCGACTCACGTTTTCATACCAACATTGGTTAATGCAATTTACACCCGACTATTGCCAGATTAGCATTGCCCCAAAGCCGATTACAATCAACATTAGCATAACTAATTCGTGCTTACTCAAGGAGCGTCACCTGCAGGCATATGGGACACGCCTTTGTGTCGCTCCGTCCAGCATCCCTGTCCCCCTTGTACTCCCTGCTTGGCAGCCGCCGCGCCTCCTCTCTTGTGATGGCTGCCGGTGGTGGGTTACCACCAAAAATGTCGTACAACTCCTCGTATGACAGGCTGTCCACGACGGCCTCAAGCTGGCGATACACAAACAGCAGCTGCCAGGGCACAGCGCCACCTGAACCGCGAAATCCATGGCGGGTTTAGTCATCTATCAGGAGTTCTTGTCCATTTTCAGTCAATTCTTTGATCCTAGGGAAGATGTTATGTTGATTCTGGTACGCTTAGCGTCAATTTGACGTTAAGTTAATATATCCCCCACCCTCCCTCGGCGTCGATCCTTCTGTGAAGCCAGGATGACTCAGCAACATTACATAATGGTGTGGTACAAATTTACCACGTCAAGAAAGAAAACAGCCAAAACTGCAGCGATTTGCAGTGTGCCGAAAAGTGCAAAGCAAGAAGCCATGGCAGGTGATGGGGGGCACCCTGGAAGGCTGCCACTTGAGATTTTATGGGGCTTTTTGTGAAGATTGAACGCCAAAGGGAGGTTTGGGGACAAGTCGCAATTTTCTTGCCACTTTTTAGCAGCGTTTTGGGTATCTTCCAAGCTTATGTCGATTTTGTGGCAATTATACAATCTCTTAGATTCACAGGTCTGACCCCCCACCCCCCACCCTCTGGTCAAATTGACGCTCAGCGTCCAATTACGAAATTCTGCTGTTTCTAATGTTTTTGTTTGTGTCGTCACGAAGAACTTTGGATTTTGACTTTGAGCGTATCCATTCCTATAACAACTTTTTATCCTTTTGTGGCTACTATGCCTATTCTCGTTCTTGCTCTTGTTCTGATCAACATCAAAGAGAATGGTTGTCCCATTTACCTCAGAGCCCACAAGTACACAGATCCACAAGTGGCAAAAACACCTCAGAGAAACCCTAGTGTTGAACCCCATATGTGAATCCACAGTACACAGTATGAATTCGGTACCAACAATCTCTGGATCATTACGTCGCCCAGACATTCTGGCAAGATGGTGAAATGCCCCAATTCCCTCCGCAAGAGCAAGGGCAACACCTAGATACTTAAATGTGGCCTACACTTTCGATTCAAAAACCACGTCACCCACCATTGGACACGCCGAGCTGCCGCGCGACGTTGTGCACAGTGGTCTGCCAGTGGTCATTGAGTAGCAGGCGGGGTTGCGTGATGGCGACCTCCACGAGTTGCTGCAACTCCTGCTGCAACAAATTCTGACAAGCCAACAAGTGCTCAGCCAACGAGCTCTTCTTTTCTTACGGATGCGCTACAGCAACCGCAAAAACTGCAAGCGCCCAGGGGAGCAAAATCTTTGCACTGCAAATGTCACAATGGACACAGGAAGTCGTACCCCGGGCCAAAAGTAATAAATCTAACACCAATCGACCTGAATTCGTGTTGTCAGCTGTATGGCCACATTATCGACTTGGTGGAATGGGACGATGCCACACTGCCATTCAGCTGCAAGCCTCATGTTGTCCAGCTTTGTTCTGCTCATGTTGCAGCTGGAACAGTGATGATGGACAAGACTCCCAACATGACATCAGCTTGGTAGAGAGTTGTGGCAAGACTAATGTATGGTTATTCCCATTGCTGCAGTGGATACAGTAATTGAATCACTCACAGTGCAACAAGACTATCAATCAACTGAGAGGGACATTACCCTACAAAGATACATGCCCACTGGTTGCAGGGACGGTATGGGTGCCTGAACAAAAGTCAGGGACCCCACTGTGATGTTACATATCCAGGCAAAGTCAACAAACATGCATTTTCAGTGCTCAAACTGGTTACAGGTTACAGAGCAGTAACATAAGAGCACAAATACTAACATGATGTGTCGAAACACTTACATCTGCAGCCTCCCCCTCGGCACCTCTCCTACCCTCTTGTCTGCCAAGTGTGGTCCTACACCGGCTCCGCACAAGCACTGCAGCCAGCAAATGGAAGCATTGTCATCGGAAGAAAGCCAAAAAGCCCAATGAAGAAGTGTGGTGGAGTGCAGGTTGCGATCAACTCATGCTTTGTCCACTTGTTACGATGATGATGTTGATATGCATTAGTACAGTAGACTTTGTTGATTGGGCATATGGGTCAAACCCAGCATCGGCACGAGTGTATATTGCAAAAGCTCCTTCATGGGACTGACAAGAGTGCCATGCCAACTTGCATTGAGGGTGTTACTACAACTCCTCTACAAGGTTCCTGCAAGCATCCTCTGCACTTTCTGTCACAGGACGCCAAACTTTCTGTGACAGGGCTGTTAAGACCTTGACAAGACCTTGCTGCTTCTCATTTTGCGATCTTCCGATGTGGGGCTTGGGTCATCCCATCTTCGCCGAGCAGTACAACTCCTTGTGGAAAGCAAGAAGAAAACAACAAAGCAATGGTGGAGGAACACTTTATGTCTGATGCACAAAACGCCAACTGTGTGATGAGTATGCTTCTGCACAATGGAAAATGGATAAGTTATGGAGACACTCATCGTCCCCCTTTTGGTAATTGCCAGCAAACAGTTGCTTGCCATTCCATTTTAGATACGCGTTACTCCAATTTCGTCAATAGCTGTTATCAAATCACCAATTATTACAACTGGCTGTGCAAAAAGCTCCACCTAGCAAATTGAGTGACATGCACCTGGGTACTGGCTAAAATTGTCCAAACCAACTTGCAGGAACATGCCATACGAAGTGCACACCATAACCGATTGCTTTTGTGAGGTTTTTCACCAGTCTTTGTGCGAGCGGGATAATGCGTCGTGCGGGCCAACACAAATACTACCGTGCAAATGCACTCAGCAGGGGGCTCCTGCAAGCCGGTACGGAAACTGGATATTCACACTGATGCAAGGGAGCCAACTGACCAATACTACATGAAAATACAGCAGACTGTTGAGGACAATGCGTACAGCTGAAGGCCAACATGCGTGCAGGAAGTCCAATGTCGGCTCCACAGTTCATGGACCAAAAGATGCAAAATAGGGCATACAACCCACTTGCATTCCCTGTTTTTGCAAGGCACAAGCGATACAGCCAAGCACAGAACCAAAGTGGATCAACCACATGTTTTGGGTGTACTCTTCCCCCAATGTCAACTGCGAGGCACTGGGCATTGTTTTGTCTCGATAAAGGCACTGCAGCCAAAGACAATATATGCGCTTGCGAGCCGACACCATCACCGCAGGTGCACCTACGTTCAACCACAAGTGCCCCTGCTGCCACCAGCCCAGTGCCCATCGAAAACATTCCCAAGCCGAGCCATCGCCCTGTGCAACAGGAAAAGGTCAGAGCCGAACTCTGCAGACGGCAAAGTGGCCTACTTCAGCCATGTCTGTAAGAGGTTTTCTAAAACCCTCATGTTGCGCTACTTTCCCAATGTCATGCCCTTGCATCTTGCGGGGTATGACAAGTAGGCACACAATCACGGTGTTTTGCCTGCAAGGTCTACATCTTTAGATGTGGCTCCCAGATACATCAAGAGTTGGCTTCTCCAAACTCCCCACGTTCTTGACAGTGTCCTATTCCAGCCAGGGTGGTCTGCACCTTGCATGTCAGCTTGGCACATTTTGTGGACCAGGCTCACAATCATCAGCTGCCATATTGCAGGAGTGCTGGACATGCCCGTGCACCACATGGCTCGCCACACCATCCAGCGACAAACAATGGGCGAGACCTGGCCCTATGCCATTCCACGGGGACTGCAAGGGACGTTCAGTCGAGGCCACAGCCATGTCCACTCCATCCCATCCCACCGACAGGCCGGCCAACGATGCCAAAAACCCGCTGCATGGCCCAGACATGTGAGCAGCTTAATATATTCCAAAAAATTCCAAAACAACGGGCTCTTTTCTCCAATTTCTCTAAATTACCTCCCAGTGGCGAACGTCCACCTGATCAGATGCCGCTCAACCGCGGGGCACCATCCTGATGGTCGCCACCGGTCGGATGGCCGGCAGGCGGGTGCCCCTCGCCACATCTCGGCCCCACGCCCTCTGTGCTCCGCCGCAGATCAATCTCGCGCGCGCAAAAGCCCATCACAGAAAATGGCCGCGTGAATCGACAGAGCGCCAATCGCGCGGGAGCGATCGGCGCATCCACCCCGCGGGGGCGCTTCCATCGATCCGGCTCGCCAAGGCGGTGCCGAACGTCCCGCGTGCGCCGCCGCGACCCCGCGGCAAAAGACAAAAAAGGAATTCGCACGTCGCGACGACCCCCCGGCACGCGCCAGAAATGCCGCGAGCCACCCAAGCTCTCTCGGACCAGCGCCAGCGGCCTTCGTGAATGATCAATGGCGGAGAGGGTAGCGACGCGCCACAACAAACATTCCAATGCGCCCATGCCGGTGGTTCCTGGCGCGGTGCGCGGCGCGGGCTCTCTCCCTCGACGATCAGGAAAGCCGCGGAAAGCTTCGAATCCAATCAGCAGCCCTCCCCCACCCCCCACCCCACCCCCCGCTCTTCACAGTGCTCACTTTCTGTGCTCTCCTTTCCGCATCGGCGACTCCCCATCATCTTCTTACAAAACGGCACACAGTCCCACACACACATTGCCCAGTACAGGGCACCCTTCGCATGCCCTGCTTCCTCGCCCCCTTCGCGCCACATCTCACCCCCATTTCCCCCCACCCGACCCTGGCAACAGTCCCATTTCCCACTTTCCTCTCACCTCTCCTCAGGCCCGCCAGGGCGCCCGCGCCAAGCGTCAGGGCCGCGCCGAGCACCACGGGCATCGGCATCTCCCACTCGATTCGATGGGCCCACGGCGATTTCGACCCCGCCCCCTATCTCAGGTTCCGCCCAGACGATGCCCGGCCTCAGATGTGTTTCCAAGGGAAGAGGAGTGGGCTGAGAAAGGTGGGGGTGGGGCGGGGATGCCCGGTGTGCGTGCCCGTTCCCCCCCCCACGCCCCCAGGCTAAGTCGACATCGGGATGGGAGCCAGCGGCCAGCTATGTGGCTTGCACTTGGCTTGGCCATGTGTTTGAGGCCCGTTCAAGGAGTTCATCAACAGGATGACTCATTCTGCGGCAGAGAACGAGAAGCCCGTGCGGTGGGGAGGTGTGGCCGGCGCGTCCATGGGGCACTGTTGAAATCACCTCAAATCAAGGCCATTTATGCAACGGCCATTGACTAAAAAACCAACAAAAAAGGGTTGAAAAGAGGACAAAAGGGGCTTTCAAGAGCACGTGTTTGAGGCTCGTTCGTCGAAACAATGATTCGCCATGGCAGTGCCGCTGGCTGACTGGCCTCGGGCCATCTATTTGAGGCCCGTTCGTTAAGCCAATGACTCTTCGTGGCAGTCAGACTCTTCGTGTCCCCAGGATCGAGAGAACCAGGGTCCTGAAAGCAATCGAGTGAGAAGAAAACGTCCAGGTCCCAGAAAGGCAACGGGGTCAACCGGGAGGGAAACCTGGGGGGACAAAACCCAGACCGTCGGTGTGGAGGGCTCGAGGTACTTCGAAGTATTTGACAACTGTGTTCATAACTGTAACAGTAACTGTTCATATACTCGAAGTATTTGACAACTGTGTTCATAACTGTAACAGTAACTGTTCATATACTCGAAGTATTTGACAACTGTGTTCATAGCTGTAACAGTAACTGTTCATATACTCGAAGTATTTGACAACTGTGTTCATAACTGTAACAGTAACTGTTCATATACTCGAAGTATTTGGCGACTGTGTTCATAACTGTGCAGTTCGCTCTCCCCTTTGGAATGCACCATTTATTCCTTTGTTCCAGAACATTATTCACGAGTGCAAATGGCTTTCTCTGAGGCGGTGTTCTTTCCAGTTGTTCTCTTTGGGGGTTGGGGTGCACGCATTGCCAAAAAGAAGGCAGTTTCAGCAAGGAAAGGACGGCAAAAAGATCCAGATATTAATTTTTCCCATTCTCAGAAAGAGAATCATCATTGTTTGATTCCAGACTTGGACTTTGGAATCAAAAAGAATATATGGACGTTGAAGGAGAGCCATTGGCAACCGTCTGTAGGATTCCGTGAAGCAAAATTTGTCTAAAAAGTCGCGACAATGTCTTCACGCCTTGCAGGCAATGGTGGTCGCGGAATCCAACTTTGATAGTACTTCGACGGACAACCGCCGCACCGTGTGGTCACTGGGCTTCGCCTTGCAACTGCAATCCACAGCCGCGCGATTGGATTTGAATGGAGGCGGTTATTCAAGAAGATGTCGTCGTGACACCGAGTCGGCTCGATGGTCCTTGCTACCGAAACTAAGGCCCGTCATGGACCGCCCACGTCACCGCAGTTCTGCTGGTGGCCGAGACGATCCAACAACGGCACCCTCAGGGCCAATTCGAGACCGACAGGGGCCCTTTCGGACAGGAATGCACCAAGGGCCGCCAGTGGTGCTGATGCACCAGAAACGATTGAGCGATCTCGCGGGGGCATTGTTGATCGTGTTCACAGCGCCCTCAGACCCGTTCATACATGCACCTTTCACAACGGCAATGCAGGGGCTGCGCATGCCATTTTCCTGGCAGAAACAAAGTCGATAAAATGGTCGATTAAATTGGGTTTTTGAATCGGCGCGATGCCACATCTTCTCAGAGTTAGAATACACACGTCTCTCAAACAATGACAGAAAACGGCGCAAGCCGTGGGCCGCAATTGCGGCTCCAGCCCATCGCACACAGTCAAAATAGTTGACCGGTGAGGTAACGCCGCACCAGAGAGTTGACTTTTCTTCCCAAACCCTCCTCACAACCGGAGGAAAACGGCAAAGTCGAGGAACTCACAGGAGCCAAAAAGAACGTCCACAAAAACGGCCTACCGATCGGAACCCCCAAGATTCAGCACAGACACGCAGGGCAGGGGGGGCAGTCGATCCTGCTTTCGCGCCCAACCATCCAGCCTCAGCGACAGTCAGTGTCCTTGTTGGAAAGTGGGACAAGCAAGTAAAGCACTGAGCAAGTAAAGCGCTGAGCCTTGCACCACCTTTCCAAAATCCATGACACCAGTTCTCCACATTGGATGGTCACACTTCACACACATGCAGTCCGTCGGCCACCCAACTCTTCGCCCCTTCACTCCTTCAGCGACACGACCAACTTGCCGTGCGCCGCACCGCTCTTGTTGTAGTCCAAAGCCGCCTGCACCTCTGACAGCCCCTGAAACACGCGGTCCACCACGGGCTTAAGTGTCCCCTCCTCCAAAAGCCGGCCCATGGTCCTTAAGGCCGGCCCGTTGGCCTCCACGCCCACGATCTGGTGCCGCACGGACGCCCCGTACTTAAACCCCTGCAGGGCGAACTTCAGCAGGGAGTCCTTGTTGGTGCCCAGGTAGCCAATGCTCGGCGGCCCCACAAGGTCCACGAGCATGCCGGAGTCGGGCTTAAGCACCGCGGCCGCGCGCTGAAATTTGTCGTTGGTGCCCACGGCGTCGATGACAGAGTCGAAGTCGCCGCCCTTGAGGACTTCCTCGAAGTTTTCGGATTTGTAATCGATGGCCAGGTCCGCGCCGCAGCTGCTGGCCAGCTCCTTGGAAGCTGCGCTGCAGGTGACGGCCACCGTGCCGGCCTTGCAGTACCTGGGGGCCGCCGTCCGGCTGTCAGTGACAGGAGCAGTCGCCATGTGGCATTGGTGGTGACTGCAGTGGCCGCTTTCGATGTTTGGAACATTCGACATTGATGAACGCCGGCTTGCTCGAGGCACGTCGAGTCAAGCGGCGCGTTTGGAATGCGCGGAGGTTCTGTGGCCAGGGACGGACACGCCTGGAATGCCGGTATACATTGCAATGCGATGATGTAAATGCGTTGATAACCTAGTTCAATGTACATCAATAATATGCCCGTGCACGTCCATGCTCTTTGTTGCGTGGTTATCGCATTTTCAAGCTGTGGTCTTCTCAGACGAAAACAATCTGTGGCCCAAATAAGTAGAGCCCAAACTAGTGGAGAGGCCCAATAGCCACAAAATAATTGTATTACGAGGACAACAGAACTAAAACAATGCTTGTTCCGTAACTAAAAATTGTTGCATCAACACTGCATAGTCTTGCAATAACCTTGCTATTGATTAATAACGTGGCAGTGCAATACAGTTCCGCCTCCCATGCCCTCACCTCTTGGCGAGCTGGGTTGCCAGCGTTCCCACGCCGCCTGCACCTCCCAGGATCAGCACCTTGCCCCCTTCCCGCAGTTTGGCGGTCTCAACGACCGCCTTCCATGCGGTCAGTCCCGCCAATGGTATCCCTGCCGCCTGAGCACGGGCCAATTGACTTCGATTAGGACACATCACTTCACCATTATTACCCGTTCCATGTTTTGCTTCCGTGTCCAAATATGCACATATTTGTATTGTTCAATTGCACCTCCATCCAGTGTTCAATTGCACATTCACTTTGTGGTGCCGGAGCAGATGTCAAACTCTCCTTGATTCCAACGCATCGCTTCATGGCTACCCAGTTGCCATTATCGTACGTTTACATACATTTGCAGGCATTTTGCATTGTTCCTCTCCATACTCACCCATTTTACATTCACGTTGTATTACCGTTTGCATTGTGGACGTTGTTATGTACTATTTGATTGCATTGTTGCATTGTCTGCGAGTGGTTGGGTGCACAAATGTGCCCAGTGGAAGAGGAACGGGCCGTTCGCCACACCACCACAGTCCATGCCTCCCAACCAGATTTGCTGCAACCTCTACACCTTGTAGCCCCATCCAACACTGTGCCTTCTTTCCAACTTACCACATCACAAAATGAAACAGCACATTCAGTTCTTCTGTATTGGGGATTGGGCCACATCAACTGCTAGGAAGCCTGCAACTGATGCCCAAAATTCTCGACCCAGTCTCCTAAAAAGATTGACAGCAAACTTAAGCATCACTGTTGTTGGCCAAAACACTTTTCCTTTGTTTCTTGCTGCCGTTTTCTCTGTTCTTCCATTCCAAACTGCCACATCACATCCGAGAGTCCTTGTTGAGCACTTCAGTGCCGATGCTTGGGCCACGCCAACTACCAAGCAGACCTAGCTGATGCCCAGCATTCACGGCCCTGCCGCGATATACAACACTCGCCATGTCATATCTACAATACCCGATACGTTTTAGATGGATACATACACACTGGAGATATGTAGATACTACGTAGTACATATAGATACGCGATATACATAGATACCCGGCACACGATCCGCAACACATGATGCAAGATACGAGATTCAGATACATAGTATACAAGATACAAGATGTACAATATACAATACATAAGGTACAAGATACAAGATATACGATTGGCGATGTACGATACGGGATACCTGCACGTGCGTGAGGGACGCCGGCTTGGGCGCCGCGACGGCCGCCTTGATGGTCGTGTGGCTCGCAAAGCCGCCCCTCGACGAGCCGTCGCCGCCCAGCTGCGTCACCATCCCGGGCCCCAGCGTCAGGCCGGTCAGCCCAAAGATCGCGTCGCCGGGCCTGTAGCCCGCCGCCCGGGATCCCACGGCGATGACGACGCCCGAGATGTCCTTGCCGGGGACGTAGCCGGGGTCCTGACGCATGAAGGCGGGCACGCGCTGGATGGCGCCGGAGATGAACCAGTCCAGGGCGTTGATGCCGCAGGCGTGCACCTCCACGAGCAGCTCGTCGTCCCCGCACTCCTGCGCGCAGGCGCGAAGGGGCGTTCTGGTCGAACTCCTCGCTGCTTCGATTCAATTTCGTTTGATCGGTGAGTGGATGAATTGAATTTTTAATGCTGACGTTACGCTCATCGTGCTGCGCTTGCCCTGGCAAGACAAAGGGCCGCCCTTGCCCATTGGGGGTGGAGATGAGCATATGCATTGCCCTCATATCAACTCTTGTTTTGCTGCTGTTCATGCGTTTGTTGTGTACTGTTGTGTGAAATACTTGTGATGCGACATATTGTTCTCCAAGGGGAGAAAAAGGGAAGCTATTCTATTCTATACCCATGGAAATTCTTGATCTAAGGAATTCAAGGAAAGGAAGAGAATAGAAATTGAGAAGAGACTTGGACGCTCCTGTACTTGAAGGGAGACACATAACCCAATCGTTCATTCTTCGAGGGACATTATCGCGATTTCTTGAGTTGTGCAGTCGCCGTTCTGGGCAACTCCCCGTTTGACCATTTCTATCACCACCCCGACTGTTTTCTGTGCTCCCACTGTTGTGTATATCTTTACATTCTCTGCCATTCGTTTCCACGCTGCATTGTTCAAGGTGTCTTTCTAGTCGTTGCCCCTTGCCATGATAACCCTGGGCAGCGAACTGCGATTCCAACCTGCTGATTCCGGAGGTGCGACTTGCTAGCAAAATGCACATAGCGGCATGAAGACATTTGACCTCTGGACCGGTCACCCAAACCCACATTGTGTGTAGGTTTATGACCTTGGGACAATGCTGGAGCTATGATTGGATCATTGTGTGCATGTCATCGACAGCTATGTGAATGAACCATTCTTGTCCGTTCATCTGCTGCAGTGGGAGATTTCTACGGCCACACTGCGCCGAATTGTAACGTTGTGACAACTGTGCAGTCAATGGAATTGGACACTGTTCTCAAAACGGATTCAGCCGCGAATGCCTTCTCAAGAGGGCAGTGTCCATGGTGTGACCTGTTTCTTCTGCATGAAAGACAAGATTTGTCATGGCCTGTTCCCCGTTGCAACTGAGCATGAGGTGGGCCTGCGCTCCTGGACTTTCAGGCAGATCCCGCATGGCTTCAATGATCCAGGACTGTGGCGTTCAGGGCATTGTTAGTTACAGGATGCACACACCATTTCCACGTACGTAATATTGTTTCGAAGCATTTCAAAACATGCAGTTCAGGTGCCAACCCCTCATTACGGCCGTCTCAGTGTTGCAAACTATTCCTGTTGGGCGAAAGAGCAGTACTCTGCCACATTTCGAGAATGTACTGCGCTACATTCACGCACTTTTCCTATCTATGACCAATGCTATATGCTGTGCAATCACACCTACGACCTCCTCCTGGTGCTCACTTGCGCTTTTGTCTGTACTGCTTGTACAATGCATCCCTCAATCTAAGTCAGGATTGAAGCAAGCGCCCATCCCCGTTACGGACACGTCAGCCCCCCGTTACGGCCACAGTCCACGTTACCCATCCGCTTCACGAAACCCTCGGGACATTCGCGCAGCGATTCCTCCCCACCCGCCGCGCTCCCTCCAGCGGGAGCGCCGCACCACCCCAGATAACCGAACAAGTACATATGCATACAAAATGAAACGCAACATGAAACACAAAAAGGGATACACAAATTGAAACGCAAATTGAGACGCTAATCGAAACACAAAACGCCAACAGCGCTGGGATCATTCCCGTCTCACCGGCATCGGCAGCTTGGCGACCCGGAACTGGCCCGGCGGCGTCTCGCGGTCGATCACCAGGGCCGTCCGCGTGGCGGGCAGGGTGGGCGGCACGGCCATCGCTGACCGGATACATCACCAGCAGTGGATAAGCGCAGTGCGCCATAAAGTCAGGAGGAATCAACAGCAGGTAGTGCAAGGCCGAAGCCGGCCCAACCACCGGCTCCTCAGCCCGCAACGGCTATAGCGCTAGGCGTGCACCACTACAGCGCAAGGTGGAGCCACGGCAAGCAGAAGTCAGGCTAATCCCATATGCACAAACAAAATCTTTTAGAGAGGAGAGGGAGGAGGGATTTTATGGTGCAAGTTGGATTTCGTTTGGTTTCGAGGAGGAGAGGCGTAGGGAGAGTCTGAATCTTCACAACCTTGTACAGGGAAGTACAATCAGGCCCGGAGCGACTAGGCTATATTGGGCAGCGTGGGGGAGGTGGTGTGTGGGTGTTCCGACACCGACCACTGATACGGAGACGGAGGCACCTTATAAACACGCCCTAAACCTTGGCGCCCAAACGCGGCGAGGTGGGGTGGGGCAGAATGTGTTACGCACCTAAAGGTTGTACGTCATACTCAGGGCGCCCTTTCGCAAGCAGCAGTGCGCATCAACATGCAAACTGCCCCAAACACTTCTTGGGGACTTTTCTGCACTTTGTCCACCGTCGTCCTGCCCCAGGACCTGCCTCGACGCTCCGAAACCATCTTGAGGAAATGGCCGCTGATGCAATTCAAACGGCCCCCTTTGGAGTGCACACGGGAAGCGCGAATCCACGATCGCCGATGCTTCAACGGCGTTGGCACACGGCCAGACGCAAGGCCACACCACACACATAACGCCCTGGGCTTACATATTTGTTCACCCTTCCCACAACGAAGGGCCTTGCCGACGGTGGCAACGACCCCCGCAACCGAACAGTTCGAATCTCCTTGCACCCACAGAACTTTCCTTTTCACGTGACAAGGACCATCATCCACCACCAACCAGCCATACCGCGCTTCAGAGATGCCCACTCATCGCCACAATACAACCCACTCTATAACACATATACTAAAGGTGCCCATATACTCAATGGCAATGTAGAAATATTTCAGCTGTGAGCGCGACCCCAACATAACATTTATGTTTGAAACGGCTGGCATCTCCCACAACATTCAAATTGATGCTTACAAAAGTCCCATCACATGAGAAATAATTCTGTGAGTTCTACAACACATTTTCCTTTTCTTTGTATAAATTCAGAGTGGCTTGCATGCAAAAACATTTTTGAAGTGCATACAAGTCGCACACCATAACGCATAAGTGATCCACCCAGTGAAACGGTGGTCATTATGCGGTGTTGCGAACAACCTATGATTGCGCTCTGGCTGACATTCCCCAAAATGCGAATGGCAGTGTCGAACATAGCGTGGTGTAATATATTGTACCCTTCTGCATTGTTACATAACGTTGGGCCTTTTTATGCGGAATTATGGTAGAAACACTACAGTGCCAAGAAAGTGTGGAGCAGCCCCAGCGGCGACGGAAGGGCATCTGGAGTGTTCGTGGCGTCTATTGTCCAGCGGATCCACGAGTCGCTGTGGCGTAAGAGCGGCATTTGAGGTCACGCGAACTGAGGGAAGTCGCCATTCCGTTTGTGGCGATGATGCGGAGCCCCCTAAGTAATGATCTGTCAATGTAATGCACAGCAAATGGCAAAGCTGAAATTTCAAAATGCAGAAGGGTTGAATATACTGCGGCACGCATGTGGTGGTGCAGGTTAGGTCTCCAGAGGTGTGTTGTATTTCCAGGTGTCCTTGTGGAAGCTGCTGGGGTAGGTGCTGGCCCATTCCTCATGGGAAGGGTGAGTATGTGCCAAGAAGCAGGCAGGGAGGTGCGGTGCTGGCTGGTGGGAAGGGAAGGTGTGCTGCCCATGCAACTGAACGCCGGGTGGCATCCCATGCTCGCGCGGCATTGAACACATTCATCGGTTGCATAGCTGTACAGCCACACATTTTCAAGTCAACTTCTCATGTGATGCTGGGAGCCGGTGCACTACTCGATGCTGCACAGAAGGGGATGACCCATCCAAATCGGGAAGTGGGACCTGAGCTGCTTCCGCAAAGACTGCCAGACGCTGCATAAGCTAGCAGCACCAAGCGGTCGCCGCGCAATGGGCAGATGTATGTTGCTTGGATGTTTTCCGGAGTGCCTACTCGAGCGTGGTTCGAGAGTGAGCATATCCAGCTGCTGTAATCTCCGCAGGCCACACAGGCGCTCCGCAGGGCACACGACGCGAAGATCCGTGCACTGAACATCCTTTCGAATTTCACGGCGAAGTTCACGGCGAAATCAAGTGGGGCTGAGTGCCCCTTTCCTGTTGCATTCCTGCTCAAATCTTGCACACCTTCCCCGCGCCGCACGGCGAAGCCCAGCATCATCACTGCCCAGCATCTTTCCTGAACCATCGGACAGGAGGCCATAGCTTGAGTTGCATAAGGGCCGCACGCACGCCACAGTGGCCTGATTCGGGCCAAGATTCACGACGGCGACTTTGAAGATTGTGTTCATGAAGATGTCAGAACCGAAGCCCTGATCAGAAATCCTGATCCTGTGGAAGACATCTGTTGTTCCGGTACTGGAAACACTAGTGGACTATCCTTACGTAACACTGAGGGCAGAACTTCGTTTCCATGCAATTCCCGCCGCTCTTCTGACTATTTGACTTTTCGTGGTCACTCCGTTTCACATGTATCTGTACGAAATGCAAAGAGCGAACATTAACTTCGAAGCGTGCCGGGTCATCCGACCCATGCGGCCATCAACGGCCAACGTCTCAATCACCAGGCAACAACACGACGTGAAGCGCCCGTCGAATGACTGTAATGTCGCCAAAACACCGCTGCCAGCCGCCAGAGCCACACGAGCGTATCGGACCTCATTCTATGGGCAATCGTCCGCGACGAAGAGCGCTTTGAAATCCCAATCCCTACACGCTTTCGCCTTCTTGGGTTCGTTTCCTGCGGCTTCAGCGGGGCGGCGTTCTGCCTGGCCCCCCGCCGAAAAGCAGGTTTCATATCCGCCAACTTTTCACGCGTCACAATCCTACCTAGATCCTGAAGAGCCCACTGAACATCGCGCCACATGTTGCCCGTCCCTCCCTGCCTTTCCAATCAACTTATCAGATCCCCAGGATCCCAAGCGCGTTGTGGCAACAACGGTGCCCCTACGTCACGGACCTCCATGAGTGACCCCGCCATATCTGCTGACATCAACGCCATCCAACCAGACCCATTGCCCATCCCATCCAGCCCCATTACCTCCCTGTCACCCCCCCACCTCCCCACCCTCCAATTTCATCTTCTCCTCAATCGTTCCCATCCAGCTTTCCCTTCATGCGCAAAATTGCATGGCCTTCAGGCCGCCACGGGCTCCACAACACAGGGCCACCCACGGTTCGCCCGCTCCTTCCGTCTAAACTACTGCGGCCTGGACTACGGACCTCAAAGTACTGGCGCCGACAGCGGGGCACTGGAGAGTAGGAGCCCGAAGTCCAGTACCCAACTAGTTCAACGTCGGACGTGGCACTACACACTCACACGCTGCCTCCCCAAGGTGTGCCCACACACCCGCAACGTTAGACAGCCCATAGCCTCGCACATCTCGTGACTCCATACATTTCGTAACGCCATACATTCCGTAAGGTCACACATTCCATCGCGTCACACATCCCGCCTCGAGCGCCTACAACGTCACATCAAACGCCGCCTCTCGATACGACACACCCCGCTTCCCCTCGCGCCAAACGGCGCCATCCGCAATAAGGCTCTTCGCTTCTCGCCTTCCAGCACGTCACGGGGGCCACTCACGTCCGGGCCCCACTGGCCGTTTCGGCCACTAAAAGAATCCCCTCCCGTGGGGTCCCTTAAGTATAAAATGTACCGCTGTGGACGGTGGCGGGCGGGGGCACATACCCCGACTTCTTATTCCACCCAACCCCCAACCCCCGCCCCGCCGCGGCAAAGCTCTCAGGTGGACCCATTCGCATTGACCTTATTGCCCGCGATGGCTGGCCACTGGTGTCCGCCACAAATGCAGTGCCGGAAAAGCCATGACACAGCGTGCACGCTGTTTTCTCCCTTTTCTTCACGTCCTTTCCCGCGCGTCGATTTCTGAGTGGAAGGACCTATTGGTCGTTTGAGATCTGGAGGTGGCTGGCTCGTCGTAAAGGTAGTTCACATACTGCAGGCCGATACACACATCGGTCACACTTTAATCACACTTCGGAGACAGGAATCAAGCCGCTGCGCGTTTTCGCCGGGCTATGAGTCACACTTCGATGTTGCTCGTCATCCTTCGGCCGTTCAGGTCGCATGGGAAGTTGAAAAATGCAGACGACGAAGTAGTGAAGGACCTCTTATTCGGAAGTGAGCAAAGGAAATTAGGGAAGTGATTTCATTTCCTTAGTTGTTGATCAAATGAAACACTTGGAGCTGGTGAGAAGTGCGCACCTGCCGTGAGAAGCTTGCCCCATCTGGAGCCAACGGGAATCCCTGATACCGGAACTGCGGGCGAGGCACACATCCATCACATGAGATCTCAATGCGCACACCACCACCACGATAATGCGAATTGGGCATCCGCGCCGACAGCCACTTCAACCACTACCTTTGCTCGCAAAAATGCAGATGAGGACAAGCAACACGCAGCGCACGGTTTCGTCTGGCAACAAGTCGAATAGAGTTTGCCAGTGATAGTAATCAGAAAATATCAAGAGAAAAGCAACATAGCAGAGAGAATAAACAACGGAAGAAAAGCAACAAAGCAGAGTAAAGAAATAAGGGACGAAACAAAGGAACTGAAGGGAAGAAGAATTCCTACACAAAGCCATACCCGCAGCACATGAACCATCCAAATGTATCATGGCCAGGGCCGCCATTGTGCAACCCCAGTGCCCCCCAAATCTCGAAAAGACAGCTCCGCGGAACAGCACCGCACAGTACATAACGAAGGGAAGGAGGAGGACGGCCAAGTTCCCTGCACCCCACCTGCGACACCACCCTCTCTTCCCCCTCCTCCACGTCGAACTCCAGGTCGGATGAGCTCACCAGCGAGCTCACGGCGTCGCGCGAGCCCGGCGTCCTGGGCGCGCTGGGCAGCGACGCCCTCCCCGCCGGCGACGGTGGGCAGTGCGTCGAGATCGCCAGCGGAAAGCTCGGCGACCGGCTCATCCTCGGGGCGTCATCGCGACGCGGCGTGGCGCTGGAATCATCGGACGGGCGCTGCGCCACGGTGCCCGACGCCGTGGACAGCAGCTCGTGGTCGTCGGCGGAGAAGAAGTCGCCCGAGGTGGTGAGGAGGTGGAGGGTCGAGGCCGATTGGTTGTCGGACTTCCTGGAGGCGGGCTCTGGCTCGACGGTGAACCAGCTGTTGTTGTCGAGGGAGGGGAAGAGGGGCTGGGGGGCGGCGAGGGGGTTGACGGTGAAGGAGATGCCACCGTCGCCGGGCGCCTGGTCGTCGGTCTCGTCGCCGCTGTAGCTGCGGGGGAAGGGACGGAAGGGTGAGGCGGGGGCGGGAGGGGAGCCTTGCGTGAATGAGTGCGTATTTGTGCATTCATGCATGAGTGAAGTCACGTTTGTGCATATTTTACGTTTTGTGGGGGAGATCCTCTGTTTATCTTTTGATGTAATACATTGGAATAAAAAAAAAGAAGTCACATTTGTGCATGGTTGTGCACGTTTGTGTATTTTTACACTGGGATTTCCACGAACTTCCATGGACGCTGGCGGGCAGAGCGAATGTCGCTCGTTGCATCATTGATCAGCAAAAAACCAAGCGAACGACGCGGGTGCAGCCACGCCCACCCCAGAGTGCTTGTCATGGCTGAAGCAACGGCAAGCCGTTGGGTTTGACCCGCATGTGGGCGCAAGGAGAGCTGCTGTTTGAGAGCGGCAGTGGGGCAGCGAACGTCAAGAGAAGGGCGCGCACGCATGCAGGCGAGCGCTGGGCATCTCCGCTGACCTGATGAATGGTTCGCTCATGCGTATAGTCCGAAACTGCCGCCTCTTCTCTGAGTTGCTCCTGCGTCCAAGCCACACCGTGCCGCATCAGCCCCAGCGGACGCCGCGCGACTTCCACCACTCCAACAACCCACAAGAGCCGATCCCAATTGCCCCAAACATGGGGTGACCAATTAGTCTAGAATGGGCGGACCAATCAAACTTAGGCCGAATAACGCCGTCCATGGACTGTATACAAACGGCGATATTCCCCCTGGGCCAGCAAATTGCGCCACCTCACCTGGAAAGCGTTGAGTTTATCTCTAAAGCTGGCCTGCCGCTGCGCTGCGCCCCCGGCCAGTTGACGCTGTGCGAGCTGTGCGTGGCCACACAGCCCAGCGAATAGCTCCCCATCGTGCTCAGCTCGCCTCCGTCCTTGCCGCTGTCCAGCGTCCCCTCCTCCAGCCCATCCCCCTCCCCCTTGCCCCGTCCCCACGCGCCCGACGACTCCTGCTCCGACGACCCGCTGCTGATGGCGTCGCCCTTGGGGCCCGCAGGCCCGGCCGGCAGCCCGTGGCGCCGCACGAAGGCCCGGTTGCTGCGGGCGGCCAGGCCCAGCAGGGTGGCCACCAGGATGGCGCCCATGATGATGAGGAGGACGAACCAGCCACGGACGCTGGAGAAGGAGGGGGGAGAGTCGGCAGCGGGGGCAGCGGGGGGCGGCGCCGTGGCCTGTCGGCATTGAGCGCAAGGCATTGGGCGTTGGTGTTTGCGACAATGGCGCTGAATTACATTGCTTACCAACGCGTTCGGAATACACAGCGGGGCCGTTGCACCCCGCGGGCGGCCACCGGCAGTGTCATGCTGCGATGTCGCGGCTGCGCGGTTCACAGTCGGCACAGTCGGCACTTACTCACACACTGAACACCAACACATTTCTTCATTTCAGCATTTGTGAAATTCGCAATTACGATTTGTGCAATAGCGGAAGCCATCTCTCGGTCCTCGCTCCGGTCGTGCTCAAAGCAGCAGGATGCATTGACGACGAAATACCAGTGAAAAAAATGGAACCAGTGACGAAATACGAAATACGAAATACCCGTGAACAAATCCCATTGCAGACGAAATACCGTGCAGGAGGTGGCCGTCGAGGACAAAATGCTTGTTGCTCGCATGGAGAAATTGGGAACAAAGTGATTGAAGAAGTCTTGAGAGCGTTGTCGACAGGCAGAGAAGGCAACAACTCGTGAAGGGGCGAAACGATTAAAGCATAGCAAGGCGCCAAAGAGCGGCGCAGGCAGAAGGGGGACGGTGCCAGGGACGTGTGCAGCAAACAACCTTCAGAGTCCAATGCAATAAGTGTCTTCCTAAGAAACTCATTTTGTTGTGGAACCAACGGAATCTACACGTTGACCAATGGGTCCCATTTAGGCAAATGCCCTTTCACCTGCTGCAGCATTTATCAACGCAAACGGCGGTCCATTTTGCTGTAAGCCTGGGTTTGTAGAGGACGCTCGTCTCCATTCCTACTATTCTCAACACCACATTACCAACACATGCGCAGAAAAAGCTGGCACTGCTTTGTTTTGAACATTAGAAATCACAGAAATTCCGACCTTGGTGGGGCGCACCTGCAGCGGTGCATCCCCGAACATGGCCGAGAAGTATCCAGTGGTGTCCGCCTCCACTATGCGCTCCTCGGCCGAGACGGGGTCTTGTGCGTACACCGCGAATGTGACCTGTGGGAGTGACGTCACACATAGTGAACGAGGTGAAAACGCTGGCAAGCGCGAGCAATGTGCGACCAGATACCGCCACTACGAGAAAATGTGTGACCAGGCGGCAGAAGCATCAGGTGCGGGGGCTAGCATGGCTTACGACCCTGGCGGTGGGGTTTCGCAAGATTTACAATGTGTCGATAATATTAACAGGTGGGACCAATAGACAATCTAATAAAATCCTGCCACACTGGCGAAAACAACCCCGCCAATCGGACTCGCCGCAAAACAGTACCACTTTCATGCCCTTTGTGAGCACATCAAGTCCACATTCAGTGGCGGCAAGCTTCACAACGCTTTAATTGTGGGACCTAGCTAAGGATTCGCAAGACCAAAACTTTCCGCAGCTTGTAAATTTTACTGACTAATAACGAGTGTAGTAATTTCGCTACTTCAAGAACATACTAACTGTACATTAATTGCTACAATTTTACCAATTTTTGTACTTTTCAATGCAACAGAAAACGAGGGAAGCGGCCGTTTCGGGGGCGGCCATGACTAACCCTCACCCTCAATCCGTCTACCCCCTCCTGCCTTGACAGCAGCGTCACTTGGTGGATGTCAACCTCCGCCAGGTCCGCCACCGCCTGCCTGAAGCCCTGCCCAGAGGCTCCAATGAAGGTGACGTAAGATGCGCCGGCGATGACGACAGTGTGAACCAGCAGGAGGTCGTCCTCGCCGCACGCGTTGGCAATGGTCTTCAAAACGCGCAGCTTGGCCTCGGAGCTGTCGACGGTCAGCACTTCGATCTTGTCGATGCACAGCGAGGGGTGGATGCCGCAGCCCCTGAGCAATGCCAGGTCCAAGGTTGAAGGCAGGCGGCAATAATTTGTGTAGTTGGGCGCATGTGTGTTCTTGTTTTGATGGTCGTTTCTGTTTCGGGCCTCCCCGTGTTGGCCGCTGTCCCCTTTACATTGCCGAAACGTGGAATAGTTATTTGGCATTGTCTTTTGGTGAGCATATTAGAGGGGTGCTCATGTCCTGTTTCTTGCCCCGTTGGTTGTAAGAAGCAATTCCAGACACACATGCGTGTATACTATGTGTGCATTTACACACACACGCACGCACGAACGCACATATACACATTTCACACATACACATACACGATGAATTTCGCTGTTTCCACCTTCGACATTCTGACATTTCCGTTGCCCGCTTTGCTGCGAGGTGCGTTGCTGCTGGGCAGGCGATGCTGTCGGCACTTTTGCTTTTCTCCGCCTGACTGCTTTTCTGCTGTGGAGAACATGCGCGCTCTCCTTTGGCTTTTTTGTTCAGAATCTTGCGAGGAGACAACAGGCCTGAAGCTTCCTTTGTGCTCTTGCAGATAGGAAAGGGGCGAATTGCGTTATGCACTGGAAAGCTAGAGGGAAATAGACGTCAAAAGTTAAGAAACTACAAACTGCATCCCATCACATCGCTGAAGATAAATCCGGGTTTTGCTTCTCTCACGCTTTCGATTTCCTCAAGTTGATCGCAATTGTAGCATTCTGAGTGTGGGGTACGCACGCGGAACATTTCCCGACTACATAAAATAAGGAATGATGATTTGAGGGGTGGGCCTGTGCACTTGGAATTGATAACGACGTGCATAGCTACTTTCAACGTTTTTTTTTTGTTAAGTCTAATCTTATGACACAATCATATCGATAAACTAACTTTTGTATCATCATCCTTGTGGCCTGTTGCTTGCGCCCGAGGGGTTCCGTGCATAACTGAGAGTTGGATGACAACGGAGCAATGCTGCTGATGTAAAACAACAGGATTGGCGCATAATGCCGTGCATTGCGCGGCGGATACCACACAGCGTGTTGCCGTTTAGTAAAATACGGCGTCTCCCTGTTAACCTAGGTGAACACGTTGTACATAAGCGTCTAGTTTATGCATATCTGTTCGCAAATGTGTACTTCCATTCTCAAGCGTACAAACCGTACCGGCGCGCCATCTGCATGTAACACTGGTCACACTGCAGGGAAAGTGCTCGCCTGGTTCAGCCAATTGCATCACCGTTGCCCTCGCTCGCCCCCCCGCCGGGGGGCAACGTCCACACTCAGGGATATTGCAAGTCCTTCGATTACGAAATCAGAGGAATTGCAACGCACGCATTTCTAGAAAGTGGCACAAAGCAACTCCAGCACCTGCAGGGCGACGTCGGGCACCGTTTCGCATACACACCGCCGCCATTCGCGTTCGCCACCACGCCAGGGCGTCCTGGCAGACCACGGCACCCACCTGAAGACCGCCGCGACGCATTGGTTGGAGTCCGCGTTTTCCAAGCATTCGCAAATGTCTGTGGACTTGTCCAGCCTAGGGCACCTGTCCGCAAGATTGCACCGTTTGAAAAGCTTTCAAAGCGGCCCTCAACATGAACGAAACGTGGGCACGCAGTTCACAGCCGCTGTCTAGTCTGGCGGCATGAAGGCGACAAGCCCGCGGGAAAAAGTTGCGCATCCTGGATACGCATATCCAGGATATGGCCGTATCTCCGGATATGGGCGCCCATACCCCAGGATATCACCGTCATATCCTGGATATGGCCGCCATATCCAGGGATTTAGCCATATCCTCGCCAATACCCATGCTGTATGTGTTGTATCTTCGCCCATACGCTCGCCGTATCCCAGGATATGGCGCCCATACCGTATTCCATATCCAGGATACGCAACTTTTTTGCCGATCCCGCTGAGTTCGCATGGGCTTTCTGCCACTTTGAGGGCTCCAGCGGCGTCAATCATAACACAATTACATAATCATCACGCAATTACCGTTTTATGAAACAAAGCAATGCGCCTCAGGGGCGTCGCTTCTGCCCTCGCGAACAAGGGCACCGACAAATGACTGCGAGATTACGACCGCTCGTGAGCACACAGACGGACCGATGATGGAACACTGCGGCGCCAGGTAGAAGATCCTGTTTGCGTGGCGCGCGTTGCCGTCCGGTCTGGGAACATAATCACATAATTGCTATACTATCATGGCATTGATCCAGCAAGTGTCACCTGAACAAAGATTCGTGACCATCGGTGCCACAAGACCGGCCAGTGCGTTTTGCAATCAGCGCACGAGAGCACAAGGAATGCAGAATGCACGAACGTCCTTCATTGCTATGCGTCTGGAATCAACATGGCGAAGGGCCAACCGCAGTTGCGTTAAGTAGCGCACTGCTACCTGAAACACGCCACATGTTGTGCGTTTTAGGCAGCGTTGCGCTAACTAGCGTTGTACAACGCAAGACACGATGGGCAGGCACACCGCTGTTTGCGTTTGTGGAGTCCAAGGACAAGATTGTGCATATGGGCGGAGTGTTGAGTGTCTTGTCCGATTTGAAGGGAGCCGAAACACCGGCCGCAAAATTGGCTGTTGGGAACAATTTAATTCCGCGTTGAAGTCATGTTTCCAATGCTTTTTTACAGTTTACCTGCATTTGGGACGCACATCAAGAAATCGTTCAGCGTTGCTGAAAATCGCCTTTCGGCCATTTCTGGAAGTTGTTGAAGCAAAATTCAAAGCAGTTAGGATACAATTAGACAGAGCTTCACACGTACACTTAATGCAAACCACTTTATCAATGGATCCACTCACGCTGCGTCAGTCGTGCTATTGATTCCATTCTTCCAAGCGAAAAAAACAGGCAGGGTCTGGCACAGCAAACGCTACAAAACTGCAACGTTTGAGGTTTTGCCCTGGAGCAGCAATCTTGGTAGCCCGTCCCGTAATCGTAACGTACACGTTTGCAGCCTGTTTCTTCGACCCGTCACATATAGGATCCAGTGGTTTGGAACACAAAACAGGCAACAATGTGATAAATTACCAGGTGCACACTCATAATACATGTGCAGAAGAAAAATAGCCATATAACATTGAAAAAAATTGGTGAATTGAGACAGCGGCGGCACTTTCGGCTGCCTGCTCCTAAGAAAAACAACCAATTCACATGGAAATAACATACTGATGTCTACCGCCATCAGCGCAGTTGGCACGACCCCAGTATAAATAAATGCATAACCTAATCCAAATAAAAAATACTTCCTTCATCTAGCATGATCTACATGCACGTAGAGCACGTTAGTTGAATCAAACACTATTACTTGAATTTAGCATGAATTCAGCCAATATTCTAATTGAACTAACACTAATTTGGCAATATTTTCATTTGAATTTAGCACTAATCTTATGATGAATGCTGATAGGGACAGGCGAAACGACTGTTTGCCCACCTGTCCACGATGGCGTCGGCCCCCAAGATGACCTCCTCCTCCACCTCCGACAGGAACCTGGACTGCAGCGTGGGGCAGCCGGCGCTGGGCACGGGCGAGGCGCAGATTTTGCCAGCCACGGCCGCGCACCGCCGGCTCCCGGGGTCCAGGATGCAGTCGCAGGCGTCGCAGCCCAGACCCTCGTACAGGCCGAGCTTGCTGTCCAGGGAGTCGTTGAGGGGGCAGTCGCCGCCTGCAGGCGGGAACGGGGGACAAACGATTGCAATTCTGAGCAGAAAAGGGGAAAAGGGAAGCAGAAGATTTGCTACGTGTGGCGTTGTAAAAACGTGCATGTCTTCGGTACTCGCAGTACATGGCCCATCAGAATGTGTCACAGCCACGTCCAGGGCCGCCCACGTGTCACGCCATTGCCCCCACAATCTCGAAGACAACGCCGTGGAACAGCGCCACACAGTGCATTTGTTCAGGTTGCCTTTCGATAGGCCGCATGAAATCAGACACACAGCAGCGAAGGGGGGAAGAGGAAGGGAAAGCAAATGCACAAGCAGAGACGGAAAATGGGACGACAGAAGAAAAGACTAACCATAGGCCAGTCGTTTGTGCATTTTTGCCCCAGGGGACTGGAGAGGAGGCTTTGCTTCTGTTCAACCCTTTTCCAAACTTTTCAAAGACAAAGATTGCTTTTAAACCGCAATCCCAAAAGGAACAGCAAGAATGGGCAGAAATGTAGAAATAGAGAAAATAAATATGTGCGCACACGCATAATGCATTTTTGAAGCATAAGGCAAAGAGCTTTGAGAGGGGGCAATCCACAATGCCCCGAAGCGCTCCTCTGTCGAGGGCGTCGTTCCGCGCCTTTGTTGAGAGAAGAGCCCATGAAAAGAAGAAGTGCAAAACCATGAAGCAGAGCCTGGTGCGCACCTTCCTCCCTGATCCGCGTCCCACTTGCATCTGCGGGTGGGGGATGCACCACACTCGCAGCCTCGATGGTGGCAACCTGCTCAGAAGGAGGAGCTTGTGAGGGCCACGTCCATTTCTTCGAGGTTTCTTCGATACTTACCATATCTGGACATGGAGATCAGGGAGGGATCATGAAGGTCATGAAGGCTATGAGAACCCTTAAACTTCAACATTAAAAATCTGATACTGAAAATGATCTTGATAACTTTCGTGTTTGGAAATGAAGATTATCAGACATTTGCGAGCTCTTCAGCGGAATCACTATTGTATATGTGTTGCACAATTTCGTTGCGTCGATGTGTTTGATTGAAATCGTGTTTGTGGGGTTTATGTCTGTTGTGCGTCGTGAAACACCAAAATGACAGCGGGGTCGAAGTCGGGAATGCCGTAAATGGCAGGATAATGTGCAGCATGAGGATGAGCTGTACAGGCTGTATGTAATCTGCTTCATTGAATTGATTGATTATAGTGCAATGCAATATTGAAACAAAGAAATAAGGAACTGTTCCACAGGATGGGGCCAACCCTCACAAGCAATAATTCTCAAATGGGATCCGTTCCAAAAGGCAGAAAGGTCACCAAGAGAGCACGCAGAATTGGGATATACACAAAGATATTTACAGATGTATGAAGTATGTGAATATCATCACAGAAATGCGTGGAGATCTTTAGATTATAAGTTAAAGATATTGATCTGGAAGCGAAATATTGTTTGAGCACATAGGAAGGGCGGGCGACCAAAAGCAGATTTGCAGCAGGAAATCAAAGGCAAGGGCCAACGACGGGGCTGCACACCTCAAAAAATGCTTTCCCTGTCTCATTCAAAAACGTGCCGCTCTCTCGAGTGGAAAGAATCTTTTCAACGCAGCTCTCCGGATCCGAAGCGACAACCAGCGCCTGAATCAAAGCCCACAACAGTTTGTGCAACAGATAGCTGGGCAATTTTTCGGTGTTTCAAACAGCCGAACAGTTGCGGTGATTGTGAAACGCAGCGGGTGACTGTGGAGGCTGCAGACAAGCAGCGCAAGTGCTTTGCTGCAATGCTCTGCTGCAAGGGACTCCTGAAAGCGCCTTGGGCTGATCGTGACTGACAGGAAAATGTGATGGAATACGGGAAAGGCATAACAGAATAATGACATACAGTCATATGGGTGCGTAAATGCGCATTCTCACATTATCAAGCACACGAACAAAACAGAGTAATACATATTGTGGAGAATCAAACAGACCACAGTGCCAAGCAGCAACTCTTTCACTCATTTTTCTTCAAAGGAGCTTCACTGCAATTCAAGCAGAGCACCATGCCGCCAGCATTCATCATCAACTCATTCTCTTTGGTTTATCGCCACCGATTTTTGGTCTGACGCGCACCTCGACAGCAACACGCCTGCAAGGACCCCCACCGCCGGTACCGTTGCCCCCAACCCGCTGCCCCTGGCCTCCCTGCGCCAACCCCTCCTCGCAGGCAGGCGTCGCCTCGGACGCCAAGACTTCTGCATCCTGGCCGCCTTCGCAGCCCACCCTTTCCAAAGCTGCCTGCAGCAGGAAGGGAGAAAGGGTTCGGTGCTGAACGCTCTGTTCAATATACTAATAGCATGATGAACTTCAAAACACTGTTACCAATAAATACTCTCGGTTGCGAACATTACTAACAATACTCTTAGCGAACTATACTACTACTAAATATTGTTATTTGTTTTGAATTCAAAGTTCGAAATTCTAGTGCCATTTTGAGCTCAAAGCTCAATATGCTATAGGCGCCTAAAGTACTGAGTTCCGGGCACCAAGTACTGCACCCACTTTGGTTGAAGGCTGTGGTTTGTAGGTGGGAGACTGATGCTGGGATCAGTGCGGTTCCTCCCGTCGTCGCCCCGACACGCAAGCGCCGCTCTTCGCCACTTCCAACAAACGCGGTCGAAGCAACGCATGATTTGGTTAATAATCAACCAATTGCTTTGTCCAATTGGACAAGTGATTTAGCCAATTCAAAGTGTCGACGGGACGCAGTGGGGACATTCCAAAGTGAACAGAACACATTGAAGAAACTCGAGCCAAAACCCAAGCTAAAGTCAAGCCCACAGGAACCACATTAATTTAATGTGATTTCGCAATAATTTAATTTAATGTAATTTCGCTTTAAAAGCGAAAGCTGAGGCTAAACACGGAACCAAAACTGACGACATGTCGAATCAGAATCGAATCGAATCGCACCAGATTCTCACCTTGATATGGGCGACCGCGGTGTCGTTAAGCTTGCTTCCCTGCCGCAGCACCACCGATAGGAACACCCGGATGGTTTGGCTGGCGTCTGCCGCAGAGGCGCCCGTTGCCCTGGGCCCTGGAGATGGCGGGACCGGAGGCGCCGTCCTGCTTGTGTTGGCAGCCGCTCGGGCCTGCGGCGGGGTGCCTGGAGACGGAGGCGAGGTGCTGTTCTGCGGTGCTTGGGGCTGCGGAGGGTTGGATGGAGATGGAGGAGGCGAAGGTGGAGACGTGCCATTTTGTGGAGCTGACTGGCCCGCAGATGGGATGATGATGATGGCAAAGGCGATGCACAGGCAGGCCAGGCGGCGGATGGCATCGCACTTTGACGACGTGTGTCTGTTTCTGTGTCTGCGTTGAGGCAGGGCAGCGGTGGGTCAGCGGGACAGAGAATGGACAACGACTGTGATTGGATTCAGCATCTGTTGGAAGAAGGTGATACGCCATGTTTTGGGTACTCGAATGAGCTGCTTCTACAAGCAGAGGAGTATCAAATCCGTTTTGCGTGTTTTGGGCTCAGCTTGGTAATTTGAGCTCCTACCACCCAAATATAACATACAAACAAAGAATAACATTTCTTCCAAAAAAGTGGCCACAAGACCCACAACACCCAATATCCCAAACAAAAAAAAATATCAGGTGTGTTGATTAGAATAGTAGACTACCAAACGTTGAGTCTGCCCAAGTGCGTGGTTTCTTGCTTCTTGACATTGTCACCCAGGCAGCATTCATTCTCTCTTGCTCTGTGCACGGCGGTGCGCACACTCACTTCTGCTAGTTGAAATTGACCATCGCGGTGGGTCACTGTGTTGTTCAGCTGTGTGCAAAAGGCACGAATGCAGGAATTGTATCACATTTCGCCAAGTAAGGAAGCAATGAACAGGAATTGCCAGAGGTGAATGGGCAGTTTTTGGCCAGATGCAGCAACTAGTGTACTACAAAACGTTGACACGTTAAGGAGGAAGCCAGCGCGAGTCCACTTTCTCGCTTGAGTTTAGATGACCATGTGATATGGGTAGACGTGTGTACACGGAACCATGTATGTCACTGCCTCGACGTTTCAGATGCAGTTGATTGTCCATCCTTAGCCCATGCTAACCAGCCTGTGTCAAGTTGGCCCACGAGGGGCTTCAAGACTCCTGCACATCGCTGCAGTGCACTGCAGAGCATAAAGACATACTGCCTCCTTGGTGGGCACATACGTCACAAACCCCCTTCACCCCCTTCAACGAATCAGGTGGTTTGGGGTTGGGCGGAATTTGACGTTGGATAACCGATCAAGAGGCATTGCAGCCACATCCAGCATCACCCCGCCCCTCAAAACGCCATTCCCATGATCCCCATATTTCCATCCGTTGATGCCCGAATAGCTCACAGGGGCTGCTCACATGGGCGTAACACCCTTGCACCCAAGCGGGGGTGTGCCATTTTCTAACTGCTATTCTTGCAACCCCTTTGGACCATTTTGACCACAATGGCCAAAAGGCGTCAACACCCAGCAAGCACGGAAGCCAACCCAACAGCGCCTGTGGATGCAAGGGTGGTGGCCTGCCACGATTTGACTTTGCACCTGATCAGAAACTTCACATTGAATGCACAAGTTTGCTTGGGCAGTTGATTGGGTAGGGTGGGCATGGCAACCTAAGCCAACCAATTTAGGTTGACTGGGGCTGCAGATGCACACTTTTGAGGCGGTCGACGCCGCCCCGAAAACCATAACGACGTGCTGCCGTTCTATATGGGAAGCATTGCGCCAAGGGCATGGTCGACTGAAGGCTTCACCGCAAGGCTTGAGGCAATGTTTTTGTCTGCATGGTTCGGCTGGAGGGTTTGAATTCAATTGTGCATCTCGGTGTGGGGAGATGCGGGGAGAGCGGCGTGCCGCGCATTGGGCGCCCACACATACAGCGTCGATCTGATCCCCACAACGCGAAGTCCGCAAACGCGGACGGCAGGTCAGAACGAAGCCCGACTCTGCCAGAACGTCTCATCACCGACCACGCCCTCTCCGCACATGCCAAGTGGACAATTCTCCCCTGGACATGTCCTGCCAGGACAAACCGAAAGCGGACATGTTTCCCAGGATTTGTCCCACCAGGACAAGTCAAAAGCGGACATGTCTCCCCGGGCACGTCCCTATCAGCGCATTTGAGCCAGCTCCCCGTCCACACACACACCCCTTCGGGACCCAACGCCCCGCTCTGGACGTCCAGATCCGCAGCCCCACCAGCACCGCCGCCGCGCACTGGCAGCCACCCGGACAGCCAACCGACAGACGGACCGCGGTCGATAGACCGGCGCAAAAAAATGCCCGTCGGTCGACCGACAGCCGACGGACCGACCCACCGATAAGCGCCACGGAATTCGAATGCCAAAAATCCCGCAGAATCGATCCCGCGGTCGCCACGGTGCCGGCCCCCCGCGCCCAACGCCCGCCCCCCCCCCCTGTTTCCGGAGTGCGGGCCATCGGCACGAAGCGATCAGCCCTGCTCAAACGAGTCGTACCCACCCACCCCTCTCCCCCCCCTTCCACTTTCCCCTGTCAAACCCCCCACCCCCGATCACGTCACCACCCCTTCGAATCGCCCAAACCGCCGCGCCAGCGCTCCCCAGCCACCGCATCAAAACGAGCAAAACAAGCGAAAGCCAATCAGCGACGTAATCATCAGCAGCCCAAGCCCCCCACCCCCCCGGTCCTTTCCACGCTCGTCGTTTCGCAACGCAGACTCTACGTCACCTCTTCCCATCACGGAAAAGAGCCTCGCATATCCTTGCTGGGGAGGGGGTGACCTTTGGATGACCAGCTTCCTTCTCCCATTGCAACAAATCTTACCCCGCCCCCAGCACCAGCCCCCTCCCCTCCGCACCTCTCACTGCAGCTCATAACGGCATCCATCCGCGTTGCGCCCTTTCCTTGCCCGCCCGCCTCCTCCGGTCCTCCTCCGCTGCCCTCGGCAGCAGCCGGCGCCCGGCGCAGGCAAAACGCCCCCCAGAGATACCCCACCGTGCCTTACCCCCGGGCAGGGGGTGCAAGGCGGGTGCTATCTCACCGATCTCAACACGCACTACGAGTGCGCTGACGGTCGTCGCCGCGTGGCAGACGAGGGGGCGGTTTAGTCATGGTGACGGGGAGGCTTAGTGAGGCCGCAACTGTCGTTTGCCGCAATTGGCCAGTGTGTCTGGCCCGGGTTCGGTGCCGTCGCTACCTGGGAGCAGTCAATCAAGGATTACGTGTGGGCGAGGGGCGCAGGGCCTGGTGGGAAATAATATTACTGCCTGCACCAAATCGGTGACTCCGTTCGCTCGTGGCTGGGCTCTAAGGCGGCGGCGAGGGGGCGCTCTGGCGGCTGGGGAAGCGTTGGGGTGGGCGAGTGGCGTTGTAGACGCACGACCGTGGGCGGGTTGCAGCTTGAATCCTTGCAGAAGGCACCCAGCTGCCAGGTATTACGCCCATAAACTTGGCGCCTTGGCCAGACCTTGGTTGGCCACGGCTCGAGGGATGGGCACAACACGCAAAGGCGTTACAAAAGTCAAACGATCGCCAACTTGTGGAGCTCACTTCACGCGCCTTTCAGGGCGCAAACGTTGGCAACGATCGCGGGCCCAAGCCTGCGAAGATCTGGCGCGTTTTCGCTCAAGCATTCCCAGGCAATTCGCAGCCAAATGGAGCATTGTCGCCAAGTGATGGAACGGGCAGCGAAGCTGGCCAAGCGCAGGCTGTGAAGCCCCTGTTTCGAGCGGAGGGGCTCAGAGCCCCTTGCATGAGCAAGCACGCGCTTCCCCCCGTGCCCAAACAGCACACACACACAAAACAGCAATGGATGCGATTGCGCCCGGTCGCGCGGGTCGGCCTTTCAGATCTCGATTCCAGGCGCCACGAAATGGCTGCTGCGCCGCGCCCCTCGAAGAGAAGCGCGGCTCCCTGCCCTGCGTACCCCTCCCGCCTCGCTCGCGCCCAGGTACATGCGGCTCCAGCCCGCGGCCCAAGTTCGCACCGTATTGCCGCAGCCACGAATTGAGGTGGCGGCAATTTTCGTCAGTTCTGACAGCTTTCGATTCTTTTGCCAGAATCTCTTTTGCCAAATTGTCACTGACTGCTCACGCTGAGGCGGGGCAGCCGGGCAGTTTCAGGGCAAAACCCACGGTGGCGGTGAGGCGCGTTGGTGGGAGTGCCGGCGTACAATTCCTGGCTGCACCAAATCGGTGACTTTCTGCACTAAATCGGTGACTGCTTGCATCAACTCCCTCCCAAACTTACCTAACATGAAACCCTAAACCCTAAAATAAACCTGCCCTAAACCTAACCCTAAAATTTAAACTCACCCTAAAACTAAACCTAACCCCAAAACTGAGGTTAGGACATAGTGTTCACGTGATTTGTTCCAGTCAGTAGTATTATTTCGGAAGTGCCAGTGTCGGGTTGTGGTGGGGCACTGGCGCAGGCGGGCGCTGCACTTCGCGCTCGAGTGTGTAAGGGCGCGCCGGGGCCAGCAGCCAACAAGTCGCGCCGCCGGCGTGTCACGAAGACGGCGTTGAGCGTGTCGGCCGGTGCCCGTCGGCCAGCCTTCGTGCGCTCTCCTTGCGTACAACATGAAGGTCGCCTTTTGAGGGCCAATATGTTGGCCTGCATTTATTTTGGATAATTTGTATGCCTCAATGTAGAGGAGGTTAGCTGGTACATGAGCGAGACGAACACTGGGACAAGCAATGGGCTGTTCTTGTGCGGCTGGGTGGTGACATAGCCCTCGGTGGCTGACACGCAATTGATGGGATTTCATCATCATCATATTGGCCTGCATGCTGTTCCGCTGGCCCACCCCAGGGTGCTCTGGGACCAGTACACGTCCGTGGACTATTGAGTCATCCAGAATGCGGCCTCACGTGCACATTGACACAGGCTGTCACCTTTGAGCACCTCTAAAGTTGTCAAAAATACGTGCTTCGAAAATGGCAGCTTCTTTCTCAAAGTCGCCTGTCTTTTCCCAGTTCCCGTTATAGTGATATGTATACGTGGCCAAGCCCTAACATCTGATGATCGACCCCTGCTGATGTTCGAGGCATATCTTAACTTCCTGCCTGCTGTTCAACGACTACAAAATTCTTCGTTGTCTGTGGCAAACTTCCCCAGCACCCTTGGCTCTTTCACAATTCCTATCCCTACCTCATTTACTCATTTCCTAATTCTGTCAAGAGTGGATGCAGCTATTCCGCGTGTTTGCTTTCGGCCTGCATCCTGCACTTGCCTTGTGCACTTTCCTGCATGCAGTTCCCTTTTGACCATTGCCTTGATCACACGGTGAGAAGTTCCCTTGCAGTGAGGTCGCCGCCAACGTGTGCACAACATCAAGTTGAGTGCCAACAATCATAGCTTACGTGCACTAAGCTGGGCGTGATGCTGCGGCTTGAGCATCCATTTGTATTGGCATCGATGTTGTTTGCCATGGACATGACATATCAACGGTGTGCAATCATACTCATCAGCAGGAATTCTGTTCGCAATTCTATATCTATTATTGCACAAATTATACACAGCTGCGGCCTCACACATTGCAGAGTGGATTCCATTGCTTTCTATGTCTTGACAAGATCCGCACCATTGCCGTTCCTCTCCATGCATTACTTTCAAATCCGGATCTTGCTAATCCTACTCCTTTGTCAAATTGTGTTTTCCCGTTTCCTTGTGCGGGCATGAGGGTTGATCAGCACAAACAATCCCTGGTAGCCAAATCTTACATGACCACTGCATGCACATCAGCACACCATCACCGCACAAAGTGCAAAAAACCCACAAAAACACACCCATGAGCAAATGAGAGATCCAGCGGATCCTGTGCACATCTGACTCAATGCCGCCTCCCATCTTGCCCCAAAACCCTATGGCGCATGCGTGCCTCTACCTCAACATCGTTTAAGGTGGTTTCAGTTCCCCTCGCACACCAATCCAAATTAAATGATCCACAAGACGCCTCCGTGGTCGCTCAAGGCTGGCGTAAACGCCGCCTTAATGTACATGCCTTGCCGAGCGCTGAAGTCGCCAAAATGCGCCGCAAGCGCCACACATGCTGCACTCCTGCAGCAATGGTCCACTGGATTGCGCCTTCGCGTGCGCAGCAGGACAGTGGCGCCCCGACACGTCTCCCCAAACAATCCACTTCTCGAAACAGAAAAAAAGCAATCGAATTCAGTCGAGTTTCTGGCATTGGCTTGCACAGCCTCTAATGACCAAAATGAAGAATTCAGTTGAGTTCGAGTTCCCAGTTGTGTTCCCAGTTGTGTTCAGCGGCCACGTCGTGACCAATACAAAACCACCGAGCCATACGAATACGGTGTGCTTCCCAGAGTGTTTTGGCGGCCCAAGGCACCGCCGTCCTACCCGTCCTGTCAAGCCCCAAGAAGATGTCGGGTCGGTCCGTCAGGCAGTCAATTCGACTGCCCTGCAGTCCCGTGGGCAAGCCCAGAAAATGCCCCCACAGTCAAAGTCCAGGCAACAGCGAATTCCCTTTATCGGAGTTGCTGCCGAATCAGGCCAAGCGCTGCAACAGATGCCTGCGCGTGGTCCCTGGCAGCGCAGCGTTGGGCGCGTCCCGCAGCCTGTTGCCCGCGCCTGGCACCGCAAAAAGAAGTAACCCCAAACCCACAAGTCAATACGCAACCAAACTGTGACCTATAAGTTCTCTTCTCCAGGGTCTTCTCAATAAGGTGCCCAATCAAAGACTGCAGGTGTCTGGGTCCGTGATTTCTCCGGCGTGGCGAACTGCGCACAGCACATCGGACAGAAGCCGTCAGCCATAGTCGTCACTGAGCAAGTCGAATCCAGATTCTGCACAAGGTCGGCTGAGCTCGCAGATCGTGCTGCTTTTGAGGAGCACTGGCAACTGAGAGCCGCTGGCACCAACTGCAACGCCCAGCCTCTGGCAAACCGGCAATAAGCACAGAAAAATGCCAGAAACACAAGGGCAGACAACTAGGGCCTTGGCAGGCTCCCAGTGGGAGGTGCTACCTGGCTGATGGAATTCCATTTGGTGCGCTGCCGAAACACACAGCACAATCAGGCATTGGTCCTTGTCTTGCCATACGCTCTGCGTGACAGAGCAGAACAAACCAGGTTGAATGTCGCATTTCAGACCGAGCAGTGTGCTAAACAGAATGGCACACTGCATGGCCGCATGCGGCCCAGAACTTGTGTGCTCCAACGTAGTTCAGCTCTCTTTGTCTTACTCTGTCGCTGTGAATATTTATTGCAGTTGATGCAGTTCAGGAATATGCTGTCTTCCTACGCATGACAGGACAATTGTGGCCCATGCTGATTTCACAGGTGCAAACACTCCTTCCCATCTGGTGCTGAGGAGTCTAGAATGACTATCTGGGAGCCTCCCAGTGGGAAAGAACACTGCCATTGGTGCCAATTTGCTATTCAATCACTTATCAAAAGAATAATATCCAACTTGGGTGCACCGTCCAAGTTCGTCGTCAAGGATCCCTTTGTCGCCTGTGCCAAGTGGATTCCAAACAATTTCCGGAGTCCCGCTCAGCGAATTCGCCAAACTAAACAGGCTCTCACCGTCAAGGGAACATCGGCAAGGTCGTCTTCCTCGCGCTGCCGATCCTGCTCGCGCCTTCGCCTTCTCCTGGCCCTCCGCCCCGAGCCCCACCTCCTCCGCAGGCGCGCGACCTCTGGCGTCTCGGCCTGCATCCCCGTCTTCAGCAGCCGGAATTCGCGCTTCCTGTGCGCAAGGTAACCGGATCTGGATTCGGAGGACGATCAATCGGGATCCGCAACGCCCTTGGCGGGTGGAGTGTCGCGAATCGAATCTCACGCCACGCTCTTAAGCCAAAGCGTGGGCGCAGGGGGTGTCTCCAGCGCCCATACGAGGGAGCCTAGCGCACTCGCGCCGCACATGTCACATCGGTTCTCCGCGCAACGATGCCATTCAATCGCCGTTCAATTTTCGACTGAACGCGTCGCGACCTTCCAAAACACGCAAAAGCTTTGCTCGCACTTTCTTTCGAGCCGCCTCGGACCCAAAGGAGGGCCTGCGCGGCACCGCCTCCCGGTTGCTGGCGACCCGCGAAGCTGGACGGCAACGCAGATCAATATCACACTCAAAGCCGCGCACCAGCCCACGGCCACGCCAGAGGCGGCCAAAACCCGCCAAAAGAACGTGCAGCACAGCTCCCACAGATCCCGCAACGCCCTGTGCGCGCTTCCATTCAGGATCACAATCTCGCGAGCCCTTCCGTTGGTTTCTGTCCCAATCGTCCCGCCACCTGTTCCCACCTCACGCGCACGCCCTCGCGGATGCCGGCCAGCGCCTCCTCCTCCCGGGCCACCCGCCACAGCAGCTCCCGCCGCCGCAGCTCCGCCTTGAGCTCCATCGCGTCCAGCGCTGTGCGGCGCTCCTTCACGAAGATCCCCTCGCTGACCTGCGACCCCGCTGACTCATCGCACTCCTCGCACTCCCAAGCATCCCACGCCTCGATCGGCCGGCGATCGAAGCGGCAGCACCCCGGCGGAGCGCTCTTGCGGCCCAGCGGCGCAGGCGCGCCATCACCGATCTCCGAATCGTCCTCGCCAGCCTCCAGCCGCATCAAATGCCGGTCGAGATCAGCCAGACGCCACCCGCCCCGCTGCCGGTCCCAGCCCCGGCCGCCCACACCAACCCAGGCATCCAATCCAACCTCAGGCGTTGGCGCGGCCGCACGAATAAAATCCTCGCTCCCGGGAGCTTGATCGCCGTCGCACGCCTGCGACCACCTGACTTCCTCCCACCCCTCACAGCTCCCCCCTCCCTTCATGCTCCACGGCGACCCGCCCACGCAGCGCCACCGCTCCTCGGAAGTCCAAGCTGCGTCGTCAGTCACACTGGCGCTGCCTATCGAGCTGGCGGGCCGCATCCCCACCGCTCCGTCCGGCCGCCCGCCCCCGCCGGCAGAGGCCGCCCCCACGATCTCCTCAGCAGAGCCCGCCACTTGGCCGATCGCCCACGCCATCATCCGCCACAGGGACCCCACCCTCGACCCCGGACCACCCCCGGCTTCAGCATCGCCCGCCGGGGCGCTATCAACCGCTGGCACCGTATCAAAATCCTCGTGCCCCTGTGCAACCCCTCGAGCAAACTCCGCCTGCCACATGGATCCGCCGCTTGCCCACGCGGGCATCCCCAGTTCCCCCCCGCCGTGGTCCTCTCCCTTTCGGCTTTCAAATTTTCGGCTCTGCGATCTTTTCGGCTCGCAGGCGCAGAAGGTCAGCAGGCCGATCGCTCCGCCCGATCCGATGCCCAGGCCGGCCCGCGGGGGCCGGCCGGAGGGCCGGTCGGGCGGGGGGGGTGGCAGCTGGCCGCCGGGAGCAATCTTGGAAAGCCGTCCGGCGCTGACGGGTGTCTGGACGGGAGGGCCGACGTCTTTGAAGCGGGAGGCGGCTAAGTGGCGAGGATGGGGCTTTGCAAAGGCTGACAAGGCCCAGTTTTGTGGGAAGGGGAAATGTGTCGGCGCGTCAATCAAGGAGCTTCGGACGGCTTTGGCCAGGGCTGCCACTCACGCGGGTGGGTGGGAACCTCATGTGTAACCGCGGCCAGGGTGATGGACGCGGTCGATCAATCGGTGGTTGTGCGACGAAGGGAAGACCGGCCGCTGGGTCCCTGCTGTGGGAAAGGCGGAAAAGGCTTCCTTCTGGGGATTGAGGTTCTTCTTTCGATGGGCTGGACTGTGAACTGGCGGTGGCACGGGGTCGATCTGATTGTCGGCGGACGCGGGGCGATACTCAAAAGAGGCGGTGCCGCCCCGGCGCCGGCTTCGCCGCTGAAGCGCGACCTCAACGAAGCAACTTTGTTCAGTTGGTCGAGCAGCGCCGCGCGCTTTGGAAGATGTGGCTCTGAAACGGAATGGGTCCCTCCCGCGTCGACGCCGCCGGGATTCCTTGGCAGGCCACCAAAGGGTCCGTTGAGGTGCGAGTCACGGTATCCAGCAATGGTAAGGCTTGTCTCGTAACCTTCCTTGAACGAAATCATCGAGCTGAGGCGAGTGGCTGCCACTGCACCTGGCGGACAACGCCGTGGATGGCAAAGTGCGATGTGGGAGGTGCGCCGATGGCTGGGGAGGCTAAGTGGGGCGGGAACGCGTGCGCTTTTCTGCATCTTATGACGGCCCGGCTCGCCACCAAATTGGAACCCACGTGGGCAAGGAGGTCTCCGTAAGCCGCTGTATGACAATCTGATTGGCGGCCTCCATGACCGCGTTATACGGGAGAGAACGTCGGAATCCGCGCCCCGTCGCGCGGTCAGATGCTGCTGGGTGATGCTCGACCAGCGCCTATCTGCATGGTTTCCATTTCTGTATTCCGTCGTGCCTACTTGGCTTCAGTGTCTAATAGCAGTCCCTTCACTGGCCGTGCGCTTTTCAATGGGCGCAATCTCCAGTATCGGGAGACGTCGGCCTACCTCTCAGCATCATGAGCCCCATACCGTGTTTTCAATGCATCCCAGCAGCACACACTATGCACAGCACCGCTGGCAAGTCGGCATGGTTTCCAAATGACCGCTGCTGCGAGGGCATCAGCATGTGTAATTATGTAACAAATGAGGCAAAATGCGCAAATGGATGCGTTGTAAAGGCAGCGGCTATTTCTCAAACATTGCAGACGGATCGCAATGCTGAGAGAAGTTGACATGTGCCTGCAAGAATGCGCAAAAGAACAAGGCTGAAACCGTGGCATAGAGACGCGAGGGCCCTTTAGTACATTTTAGGTTTCTCGGAGCATTTCTGATATGCTGTTGCAGCTGTTGTATCTCTTGGTAGCTTCAACATAACTAAGCGTCATTGAATTGTTGCACGAAAACATAGTTAAAAGATTTTGAAATGATCGTTGTGGTGCTTGTGCTTAGGGTAGGCGGATGGAATTTTCAGCACATTGTAGAATGCACCACGACAAAGGCAGTTTCTATTTGTACCATCGCCCAACGATTACAAATCAGCCCTTATTTTTCGCGAAAATTACAACACACTCCTTGGAAATAAGAAGCAACGGCGGCAAATTGGCCAGATCGCCGTTCCACAGAAAGATTTATCACATGACGGCGGGCTGAGCAGACCCTCGAGCACTCCCCGGCAAAGCACTACCGATTGTCACACCAGCTTTGTCTTCGCCGACATCACGCCAAACTCGCCGCGAAAGCACAGTGGTTTGTGCGCCGCAAGCTGCAAATCTGCCTGCCTTTCCGACCAATTGGAGTAAGCAACCCCCCGTGCCCAAGATCCTCAAAGCCATCCTCCCCGCGCGCAGCTCGACATTGAGCCACGAACAGTGTCACGAAACTATCAGAAGCGACCACCTCTGCTGCCCTGAACGCCCCTCCCACCCATTCCGGCCACAGCGCAGTACAAAAGCGCGCGACACATTTTTTTCTGCCCCACCTGACCAAAAAGGCGCCTGGGCGTCCCACGTGGCCCCCGGGCGCCCCCCCACCCCCCGTATCCCGCCCCGCAGTGTATCCAAACCCTGCCACGTGTTCGGCCGCCAGCTACCCTCCACCCGGCACACGTGTTATTTTGGTATCGCCAGCATTCCCAATCCGCCACGCTTCAGACGCCCCCGTAGCCGCAGGTTTGCCCCCCGGGGAAAAAGTGGACTCGCGGGCGGCCACACGTCCGGCCAGCACCCAGCCGCCACGCGGCGCGACGCCCTGAGATGACGTCCCAGGCGGTGGGGGCCAGGGCAGCTGCCAAGTGGGCGGCGCCGTCAGGGGTACGACAGATAAGGGCCGGACGAGTCGTCTCGAGACTGACCCCCACGCCGCCTTGCGCCCACGCCCGAATGTCTCAGTCCTATTTCTCGCCCGGCCGGTCAGAAAAAACGGCAGACGGTTCTAAACCTCCCTTGAAAAGGGGTCTTCTGGAAAAGGGTGAGAGGGGCTGAGGGGCGGCCGCGTCGGAAGGGAGGGCTGTGCCGAGGAGGGTGCGTGTGCTGAAACGACGGTGGGGGTGTTTTGCTCTGGCCGCAGGCGCGTGCCTTGGGGACCGAGAGAGAGGTCTGCCGCGAACTGGAGGTGCGGCGCAGTGAGGGCGGGCCGCTGCAGGACGCAGGTGGGTGGGTGGGTGGGTGGGTGGGTGGGTGGGTGGGGGGTGGGGGGTGGGGGGGCTGCCGGCGCCGCGCGCTTTGACTTCGGCGGTCAGAAGCAGGTTTGCCATTTTCGTGCTGCGGCCGGCGGCCTCCCTCGAGGGGCGAGGCGCGCTGGGAAGTTTTTTTGGGGGGGGATTGGAACGGGGAGGGGCGCGGCGGGTCTTTTAATTAGTTCTGTGTTGGGTGGGTGGGGGGATGTTGAGCGGATGTGGAATTTGTGGAGGAGGCAAAGGGGCAGATTCCGGTCGGGGTGGTTGTCCAAGGATTGAACTGTTCGCGCCGAAGCCGGGCGTGCGGCGGACCTGAGAGGGCCCGCTCGAGGCGGCGGCGAAGTTGGCCGAAATGGCGTTGGGACGGGAAATAGGGCGGATGGCTTCTGCAAGGAAAATAACCTTGCGCAAATAAACGTTTGAGCCCAAGTATGGGTCGCTAATGCCGACGCAGAGATGTTTTTTGGAAAATTGCAACGGGCCTGGAAGCGGCAAAAGCATGCTCCGAAGTTCCGCAACTCAAGATTGGTTGAGGTAATAATCATAACTTCCAAGAAAAGGCGAATTCTATCAGTCTCTAGCATACAATAGTACTTAGTTTTAAAGAGAATGCGCTCGGCATAATAAGCCATTCTGGTGACGTTGTGGGACGAAGGCGGGTTTATCAACGCCCAGGAGGGTTGTAGGACAGCCGGCAGCTGCCCGGCGCCACAGTCGGCCCCGGACAACAGCCTGCAGGATCGGCCCGTCTGCTTCGACTTCGTCCAGGGCAGGTGCACCAGAAAGAACTGCAAGTACCTGCACGACCTGGGGTCCATCATCCGGCAGAACCGCAGGCAAGAGGGCATCTGCTTCGCCTACCTGAGGGGCACCTGCCAAAGGGGCCTCCTGTGCCAATTCTCGCACGACATAAAGACCATTGCGAAGGCGTGGCTGGTGAGCCCTTTGCACGTGGCATGATCTTTAAATCAATTGCGCCACACCAATATGCTCTATTTCGTTTGGAAATTTTCCATGGCCAGCTCTTCATTATGTGGCCGCTGCACAGGTGGATGAAGTTGGGTGCCAAGTAGTCTGTATCAATGGAAGGGTCTTCCCAATTACATAGATTCAAATCAAATTAGCATCATATTTGTGTCTCCACATATTTTAATTTGACGGGCGGAAGTTTCTAACAGCAGCTTCACAGCAAATCCAACAACCATGCACAGCTCAAAGGCCAACATTTACAGATTATTTTAATGTACATTAAAATATCATCACATGTGATGAGCCAAACCTGCATCCGACCCAGCGCTTCCGGTTCTCAATCAAAGAGATTTGCTCAACTCCTTCATCCACCTGCGCATAAATGGCAAAACCGCATTCCATTTTGAGTGTGCACCATTTCGCGCCATAAGCCTGATTGTCGATGATAGTTCCGTGCTGCATTTAAAGTGTTCTCGAATGTGCGTTGTGCACAATTTCGGCCTATGCGCAGGAGGAGATGCAACACTCTCCCGCTGCCCGCATTACCGGCGGCCCCATCTGCTTCGACTTCGTCCGCGGCAAGTGCACGCGGAACAGGACATGTCAATTCTCGCACAACCTTCTAGACATCGCCCTGCAGACGAATCCATCAAAAGATGACCCTGAGGAGCAGCTTGCATGGTGAGGACACACGAAATTCCACATTGCGCTACTGCTGTATACACTGCTTGTCAGATCATAAGAACACACGTGTACATGACGTGAATCTACAAGATAGGGCATGGAGAATTCTAATGCCATACGGCGTGATACACTTTCCCAAGGCACGACTGCACAGGACTATGCTGAATTATGGTAATGACAAAAACTATCACAATAATGCGAGGAGATGCGATACCCAGAGGCCCGAGAGACATGATGTGAATCAGTTCTGCCACGGTGCATTTCGGAGTAGACTAATGGCGCCAGTTCGCCGGCAAAAGATCGGACACCAAAACAAAGGCAAACACAACATGGTTTGATACTATTTCAACGCAATTCAAACTTCATACACACGGTTCCGTAGATTTGTAACAAAATTTCAACACATTTATGAAAGTTGGGTTTTGAGTATTTCTGACAGTGTACGCGGGTGAGGATGCAATGGCACATTGACTCTTTTGTTTTTGATGCAGCTCGCAGACGCTGTGGAGGAAGATTCGCGAGTGCTTCGAAGACACGAGCGTCTCGAATCCTCTCTTGGAGGAGGCGCGCACGTGCGTATCCAGGAAAGGGAGCTTCGGCGGCAGCACAGGAAACCCCAACGTTGGACTCTATGAGGATGACGTCGGTGAGGGCAGGCTGAAATCGCCGCGAAAATAGCGTAAAAAGGACCAAATAAAACTTTTTGCGAACACATATGTATGCATTTCATCAGTGTTCTGCATGCTGAAAACACGAAAATGACACAAACTCATAAACTTTGTACACGTTAGAACACGTGTTATTTGGCCCTTTTTTCCTCGTGTTAACTGATGTAGCTGAATGAATAATATTCGCTGCAAAATGCTCCGCAAATAATTTTGTGATATTTGGTCTTTCTGAACGGCAATTCTCGTTCCTAATTCTTGATGTACTTAGAACTATTCAACAACAGTTTCAACGTATTTTTGAAATGAAGCAGTTTAACTTCACTTCAATTTCTTACGAAAGTAATGCTATTTTGCATTTGCCAGGAATTGTGCATGGTTGAAACACTGAGAGTTTTTCCTAGAAGGAATCACCTAGAAGGAAAAATTTTGACATTAGTATTTGATTTTTGTCATTTTGATATCCAGGACACCAATTTGTGGAAGGTTATGACTTGTACCATCCATTGAACGCGCATCGTTGTTCAACTTTCAGAAATCCGGTTTTGTGAGCAGTTTCGCTTCGCAAATTGGACTGCCTGTAGCTACATACCGCCGGTTTTATCACTATAGACATTTCAATCATGCTACGTTACATTGTAATCGTACCTATTCAGTCTATTGGTTAAAAGCTAAGTACATCTAATGTTGGCACGAACATCAATGTTCATCGTCTAAATTCCGGTTTCTTGGAAGCATAGATCCAGAAATTGGCCGCATGCGTCCCTGAACCAATGGTAAATCATCGCTGAAGCGCTTGAGTCGCAAAAGGAAATCACAGCTCAGTACATTAGTGGAACCGCACTTCCAGCAACTTGAATAGCATGTGTAAATCATACGAAAAGAATGAATGAACGGAAATTACAATTTTATAGGAAATATTTTTATTTTGTATGACGTTGTCTTGCCACTTTTGCCTAAAGACGTTGGCGAAATTTTTTCCCTACCGCCAAAGGTGGGCTGTGTCCCCAAATTGCTGGTACCCGATTACTTGCACCTCTTCGGAGGACTGGTACACTTTAATTAAGTTGTAACTTATTTAGAGTGTAAACAAGAAGATCTTAATAATCATTAATATGCTTGCTAAATCAACTGGGAGCATTCAGTGGAAAACTTGGAATTTCTGTGCGGATTCAGTCACGCCAAGTCAAAAGCATAGCCGCCTCTTGTTTCATCTCATATTGTTCTGGATTAACACCCTTTTATGACAATTTAGTACAAGCACGTACTGCAAAGTACTGAACTTTGTTTCGCTTTTCCTCCAAACAGAGTTGATTTAAATGCTGCATTCTCACTGCACATTTTCAATATATCACAAATTACAGCATCTGCGAGCTCGCGTTATATAGGGAAAATGATTCTGGGCCGAACGTGAAGGCTGGGCTTATCGCCTATGGTGCAAAACCCACAGGTGTGGCTGGTGGATACCTTCCGGAGAATTTCATGGACGACTTCCCCCAGGGGACCGCGCAGGGCGGGGGGCGCACTACAGAGTTGGACGACAACGACGACGACAGGGAGGACGTGCGCGTGTCGTTCGTTGAGGCGCCCTTCCCCTGCATGGGCCCCAAGAGAATCGCTGTGCTGCACAACCAGAACAACCTTGCAGGTCTACTGCCCGACATCGATTTGGACTGCGACACACCTGGCATCGTCAGTGGAGAAGACATTGAAGGAGAAATGGAGCCAGCGGTTGCGGAGGTGATTCTTTGATGCATGGCAAATCAGTTGTTGGATTGCGGCAGTATATTGGGCTGCCATGAAACAAAATGCGGGCGCTGCCTTGCTCAAACGATACGCGGAGATGATGGCTACCTCGTCGCCTTTGTATGCAAGATGTCTTGATGGTGGCTCATCATGATAATTATTTGCAGCCTCCATCGGTGAATTGGTGATCTGAGATCTGTTCCGTTGCTTTGCTTAACAGTGCTGCTCTGAATGCAAACCAGTTTTGATTCGATTTCAGCTGGAATTCATTCGGTAGAGCAGCGTGTTGATATAATTCAGAGGCCCTTGTTGGGTAGCAGCAGTGAGGTGCATTTGCTGCTGTGATACACTTGCGACATTGAACATGACCAAAATCCTGTACTTTGCTTCAATACAGCTTTATGTAATGACATTGTATAAGCGAAAGAGCATAATAGGATATCGTGTGCAAATGTCTAGCATGTAATAGCCATAGAGGTTGTATTATACAACTGTGCATAGCATAAAAATGTTTCAATCTCTGAGCAACAATGGTGATATACAGGCCATCTTTTTGTTAAATTCAATTAGCAAAATCCAATGTTTCTATGATTGAACTCGGTGTACGTGACTTGTATGGTTTTCTCGACAGCCATTTTGCCCAGCGCATCGCAGCAGCTCTCTTTCTCGTCATCAAAATTTATGTCCATCTTCTAGCACTTGCTCCGCATCAATGTCCATCCACTCCGTTTCCCATTACACGTAACTCGTGTAGCCTAATTGACATATGATTCCATCAATTGCGATGGCAACGAAACAATCACTAGCAGAAAAACGACCAAATAAGTTATTTGAAATAACACTTTTTGAGAAAACGTACATATGCATTTCTTCAGTGTTCTGCATGATAAAGACAATGAAATAAACCAAACCCGTAAAATTCGTACACGTTTCAACACGCGTTATTTGGCCTTTTCTTCCTTTTTTTCTATTTGGCGGATTTCAGAAACTATTTTACGGAATATGCGCGACATCCAATGCACAGGAACATCAGTGCCGCAGGGTAAGGTCGCCAAGTTAATAACAATTGATAAAGACAACGAAAGATCGCTATTTACCAGCATGCTCCTATTAATTGTACTCTATCACTGCCATTTCATGATCGACTCGTTCGCTCCATGAAAACTCCGACCGAAGTTCCCGGATGCTTTCCCGGCAGGGATCCGAGGACGTGAACGTAAATGGGAACACCTAGCGGGCGCTTCCACCGCACCGGCATCGCAGACACGGACTGCAAAACGCCGCATCGACGCGATACGTATCGCGATATCCGTACCTTGCAGAGTTGCGCGCAGGGATGAAGTGTTGGCGCGAGGTGACGGGGAAAACAGCGGCGAAGGGAGAGGGTAGAGGGTCGGCGATGGACAGTGCATACTGGCGACGATGGGCAGGCGGCGGCACCGCCGCGGGGTGTAAAAACAAGGAAAATGTACTAGACTGATGTGTTGGAACAAATGTACTGGAAAATGTACTGGACGGCGGTGCTTGAAAAATGTGTACTGGACGAAAGTTCCATGGAATGTGCTGCAAATAGCAATGGAGCGATGGTGCAGCCGCAATGATCCCAGATGCCTGGATGCCTCTAGGAAACTTTATTAAGCCTCTTTAAGGATGCTGTGCGCGAATGGGGGCGATAAAGGGAACCACGAGGCTGCGCTGCTCAGACTAAAGTGAACACAGGAAAGAAAGAAGCAAAGTAACGTGATCTTTACATTGAAAGGACTGATTGCGCACTGAGAAGACTGAGGGCGACGAAGCGTTGTGAAATGTGTTGCACACGTCTGCCTTCGCCCTGGCATGTGAGCCCCAATGGATGGCGCAGGTGAAGTGTGGATTTGCTTTGGAGAACAGGGCCAGGCTGTGCCTTTCGATTTTGTCCGATATCATTTCCGGATGTTAAGGCCAAGCAAGGTCTCTGCAGTTCCATCTGAAATGATTTTCAGTGGTCGCTTGCCATGTGTTGGAAGCTGTGATGAAACAGAACAATCACCGGCCACATCTGATCAGTTTCCGTCTAGGGATCCCCGCATCGTCGTGCTTCTCCCCCCTCCCCCTCCCAAGGCGTCCAAAAGCAGCTGTATTTACGTCAATACCCTGGTAAGCAGCTATGTCACTCATAAGTCGCTCGATGGCTCAGTAATTTTGTGGATAACTAAGGAATCAAGACACCACTTTGTTGGGCAACCCATATAATCTCCTTAGAAAGGGACTGTGACGACAACGCACAGGCCGGTGCGCAATTCTACAACAAGCGCATCTATTTAGCAACACACCAACATGGTAGTGGAGGAACACAGCCCTGCGGTCAATACAAGAAGATTCTTCTTGTATTAACCGCTCTACAGTGTATCATGTCAAAAAAAGAGAAACAGTGTATCAGGAATACTAAAGCATTTTTGCAGGGCTGCCCGCATGTGCCCCTGACGCCCCCCCCCCACGGACGTCCGGTCGCGCGCCGCGCCGCCCATCCCCCGGCGGGGCCATGGCCGACGACCCGTCGGCCCTCCTCGCGGAGGAGCGGGCCTACTCCTCCCGGCTGGCGCAGAAGGTCCAGGAGCAAGCCGCAGAGCTGAAGCGCCAGGTAGTAATGATTCCACGCCCCCCCCCCCCCCCCCCACCCCCCTTTACCCGGGCAAACGGGTTTGTCGAAACACAGCGGTCATGTTAACGATCGGGCCGTGTGCCCCAACCGGGGATCCCGCATCTGTGCAAGCTCGCGACAGGTCCAAAAAAAAGTTTGGGGCCTGGCTGCTAGAAGGGTGTGTGTATGTGCGTGCGGATGTCGCAGGCAGACGAGCTCGAGTGGGCGGCGGAGCAGAGGGAGGTGGCCAACGAGCGGCTGCAGGAGGTGGACCCGCTGTTCTTCGACAAGGTAGGCGGGGGCCTATTTGTACGGGAGCGCTTGAGTGCGCTTGTCTTGCGTTTACCTGAGAGGGACAAAGCCGGGGACCTCGCACACCCTGCAGGCGATGACGGGCGATTTTGGACATTCAAAGCGTTTGTTTGCCAAATTTTGGTGGATGGAAAACGAGGGGGGACGGGGGGGGGTTATGTTATGTGCGGGTCAGGCACCGGCCTGGGCGTGCGCAGGATGATTTTCTCCGAGGCATTGATCGGCTGCTGCCGTGGATTGGAATGCGAGGAGCGTCAGGACAAGCAGGCGCGTGTTCCTCCGTCCCATGTTCTCGAGCCTTGGGAAATTTCGGCGGCCTGGAATGTGTTGGGTGGGGTTTGGATGGGGAAGATTAGTTACAAAGAGAAAGGCAAACAGGTCAAAAATGCGAAGGGGACCCTCTCCTTATCAGGTGTATGCGAGACTCTTTCCACGCTGCCAGAAGATGATGTAGAGTTCCCTGTTCTGTTGGGTGGGATAGGGATGGGGCGCGTGGTTGCGTGTGCAGCTGAGGGGGAATGCGGGCAGGCGGGCGGTCAGCCCCGTGCGGGACCTGCTGAAGCCGAGGACAAACCCTTCGCACATCGTGTCGGCGCTGGCGCAGCACAGGAGCGCGCTTTCGGAGGCGTCGGACCGGATCAACAAGGTTGGCGCGGACGGAAAGGGCGGGTGGGGGTTTGGGTTAAGATTTGTTGCATTTCAAGAGGAAACGAGGCATGCAAAGTGCGCCCCCTTTGCGGGGTGGGGTAAGATTTGTTACAAATCAAAGAAAACGTGCCATGCATTGGGCACCCCTCCCCGAAGGAAATGAGTGTGAGGCTCTTTCCCACGCTTTACGACCCCACCCCTACTTCGTGGAGGGGCGTTGGGAGTAAAATGTCAAAAAAGCGTTGAAACACGGGCCATACAATGGAGCACCCCCTCCCAAGCAAGCATACAGAAGGCCCTATTCCGCATTGCAGCAAGGGGGTGGGGTGGGGGGACGGAATGGATGCATCACAGAGACATGAACCAACACAGTCATCTTGGCGCTTGACCATTGATCTTGGCTGATTGGATGACAACAGGGTATCTAGGGTCCTGTCAGGAGCCCGCTGTGCTTGGGCAAGAGGACACCCAGGGTGGGGTATGAAAATTGTAACAAACAGGCATTGGTAGCACAGCCAGGTTTGCGAGTGGGTAGATTGTGCAGGGTGCCTGTGGTGGGCTACAGCAATCCCAGCAGTGTTTGTCCAAAGCTATCAAGCCGGCTCCTCGTCAGTTAGGAAAACAAACGAGTCCTGAAATGCAATGTGGAAAATGGCCGATTGGCAGTGCAACATGCCATCTGTCTTAGAGATGATCAGATACATCAGGGCCTTGTACTGCTTGTGATCAGAATGTCCAGGCCTCCATGTCCTCTGAAATGTTGGGTGGGAAAATATAGCGTCTGCTAACAGAAAAGGAATAAAGCCACAAAATGGGCAACTTATATTCAGCACAGCATTTCTTGTTTGAAAATGTTAGGTCTATTCAGGTTGTCTGCTTGTTTGAATGGGATGAAACAGTCACACAAAGGGTTCGTGGCTTTGCAGCAGAAAGGCTACAGGTGCAGGAGAGAACCTGCAACTTAGTTGGATGCATAGTGTTCACCTGGTTTTGTTGATGTTTGATTATGGAGACTGTTCAGTTGGAGAAGCAAGTTCGGGACTCTGAGAGGAGGGCATCAGAGACAGCTGAACAGAATAGGGAGTTGAGGAGAATGTTGGACAGGCAGCAGAAGGTAAGATTTTTGGTGGGTTGCACAAATCTGTACCAACTACATCATCATCGACACAATTTCATCACAACACAGCACAACATCAAATACATCGGCAACACATGTTCATCAATATAAACTACTTCAAGTACATCAACATGGCATCAACATATGACAAATCAATGCCCTTGTACCTGTGGTATGGATGGTGGCTGATGAGTGAATCGTGGAGAATGCACAGAGCTCTGGCTGCGAGATGAGCAGCTCTAAGATCAGTGAATCTCTTCAAGCACGGTTGATGTGCTGCTTGTGTACTTTCATTGTTCTTCAATTGCCTGCCACACTCAGATGCTTGTGCTTTGTCTTCTGGTGCTGAGAGGGACCCTTTGGCACTGTGCAAAGGAAGGTGTGCTCCTTACATGACGAATCCTCATCCATGCGAATCATAGCTGCTTGCCCTGTAGATGCTTTGCTCAATGCTTGCTCAATTTGTTTCCCCAACTTTGCACTTGCCACAACAACTATTGTTTTGTGGATTGCGTGGGGGGATGCCCAGCTGACGCATGCCCATTTGATTCAACAGGAGTTGAGCACCACCCGCCTGCACGCTGACAGGCTGACAGACAAGCTACGCAGTGAGAATAGTGCCCGCCAGTCAGTCGAGCAGCATGCCCGACACCTGGAGTACACGTTCGAGAGCAGTGGCAAGGGGGTGGCACTTCTGAAGGCAGCAAAGTGTGACAAGGAGCTGGACAAGGCGAGAGAAGAAAGCAGGGTGCTGGCCGAAGAGTTGGGGGCCAAGGTAGTTTGTGTTCTCCGTTGTCGTGACACTGCCATTCGACCATGGCTGAGATTGCACAAGTTGGGGCGCTCTGCCCGGTCAATTTGATGCCATACTTGTGTCCACACCAGTCCAGCATGGAAAGATTCCTTCCATTGGAACATCTCTACTGGTGGCATTCAGATGCAGAAGACAAATGACATGGCAGATGATGCAGCGGATGGATGTAGCCCTCGTGGGCTCTTAAGTTGGTGGCAAGATCTGTGGCACCCAGTCAGCATTAAAGTAGATGGCAGCTGCTCCTGTGGATGGCCAGTGGTCTCAATCCGAAGTACGCATTCCTGACAGAGTGCATCAACTGACGGACATAGCGCACAAGTGCCCTTGGCATAGTAACAAAATCCATGGCAATCAACAAGGCAGCACCAAAGGAGGAAGCGCAGCCATTGCCATGTGTGGCTGGCCCGGCCACCGTTTTGATGACAACTGTGCATCCCTAGCCAGAGGTCAGAGGTCCAGAAGCTGCAGTGCGACTGCGGCGCTCTCCAAGCCACCGTTGACCACCTGGCGGCAACAGGGGGCCTCCCAAATGGCGAGGCCCTGACTGAGCTGACCACCCTCCGGCAGCGGGTGCTGGCACTCGAGAGCGACCTGAAGCTGAGAGAGGAGGAGTCGGAGCGGGTGGCCACAACGTACACCCAGCTGGGGGCGAGGGTAAGGGAGCTGGAGGCCTTGAGGCCCGAGCTGGAGGAGCTGCGGGGGAGGGAGGCAAAGCTGATGTCGCAGTGCCAGGCACTGGAGGCAGCGGTGCAGGGCGAGGAGGATGACAAGGCGGCATTGCTGGAGTACGTACAGGTGGGGGGGCTAACTCTTGTTGTGCTACTTTTTGTGCACTTATGTGCTCTGTGGTGGATTTGAAAATGGCGTGTTGTATTCAGTGGTCTAGATGGCTCGTCCTGGTTACTTATGGAACAGGAAAAAACTTTTGTTCCAAATACTGCACTACACTTGAAATGAATGCATAGGTTGGAACTGGAGACAGCTGTCGTTGTGGCTAATAGTCAGCATACAGACAGCATCAATGCCTGAAAGGGATTCACCTCCATCCCCACCAGTGCATCCCCATGCAAGGTCACAGACTAGAAGCCCAGATAGCTGCCAGTGTTGGCCACGCCAACTGCACAGACATGGACAGATGTTGAAGGGAGTGGAAAGGCAATGGTATTGGTTGCATTGCTCACAATGTCAAGCGCACATGGCAGACACATTCGTTGCACCTTCAAGGCGTCAAGGAGCGCATCAGCACTCAGCCGAAGTGTATGCATTCCCCACAGTCGAACAGCAACATGCCAGCAACTAGTACTTGGAAGTTTTTCATCCCCCTCCTTTTCTATGTCTGTGAATCATGCAGCACACTTGAGGCTTCACATGAGGAGAGTTGCATTGTTGCTTGCACAGTTTCAAGCACAACCAGCACCTATGATGGTGCATGTACAGTGAACACTCCTCAAATGAATCACAGCTGCACTGGTATGTTTGTATTTATAGTCCAAGAGGAAACAGAAAAATGTACTAACTAGATTTACCGATCTATTGGATGCCTTAAGCATTTGGTGTCACCTGTGGTTGATCTGTCAACCTTGGCAAACCATGGCCAGACAACCACAAGGCAAAGAAGGCCTGTGCAGATGCATATCTTTGATCTTGGTCCATTGCGACTGGCCACAGAACCAAGCTGGACATGAAATTTCGAATTCTGTGGAAAGGGAATGCAGCTTTGCTCTTGATGCATGGTGACTAGTGGCTGTGGCACCTGCTGCTTGCGAACAACTCGTAAGGACTCAAACAGTGTTACAATACTAACAGTCCGTGTCGATCTCACCATGATTGTCAAGAAACTTCCAAACACCTTCATCAGCAGCATGAATGTGACATGACAATTTTAACTAGAATGGAAGTGGACTTCCTCCCAGGAAATGGAGGATGACCGCCAGCGGTACAGATCATTGCTTGCTGGGAATTTGGAGGAGCCTGGGGCCTCAGAAGACAAGGTGGCTGGTGGCAGGAACGGAGAGAGGGGTGAAGTCAAGGTGGGCAATTGCGATTTTGCGATTGCTAGAATTGGCTTCAGTCGCATGTACCCAGTCGACAACGAGCTGCCCTGTTGCCCAGATGTGCTGGCTGACACTGCACTCACTGTTGCCTGCAAGTTGCAAGAGCTTGGACTTGCTACATGATGTGGACAAAGTGCAAGCAAAAAAACTAGCAGTTGTCTTGGGCCCGGAAGGCAATGGCAGAGACCATTGGCCACGCTGTTGGTTTTCAGAATACCCAGGAAGTGCTGTCGGAGTCCCTGTGGAATGAGTCACTGCTGTTGTTGGGACCACACACCTCACCACAATGAAGTCCTCTTGAGCGAATGGGCTACTCTGGGCAACATATTAGGAGTTTTGGCAACCTGGGCTGCGCTCAACTAAACAGAACTAAACCAACAGAATAAATATACCTTACTTTGTCCTAAACTCTTGTAACTTTGCCTTTGAAAGATGAAGTGGCACCCATGCACTGTGCAGGCGATGGCGGATATGTGTGGTTGCAAAATGCTCTTCTGTCCCTTACCCCTTTTTGTGCCCCCTTATCTCCAGTGTGCAATGGACAGATCACACATTGCTTTCCAAGTGGAGAAACACAAAGTCCAGTTACTTGCACTGAATCATCAATGTGTCCAAAAGAAGAATGTGTGATTGGGCACGCAAGCAGCATGTGTCCAAGAGAATCAGCCTGTAGGACAGGAAACGTGACAGGGAGAGATCTCCTCAACAAACCTTGGAATGCGTTTGACGGTGTCTATATATGCCCTTTCTTGTTTCCGATAGCAACTTGATGCAGCCTGATGTTGGCATCAGAGTTGAGCACGAAGTGAACCCAGCAGTTTCCAGCACAGCACAGATTGTTCCCCTGCCTATCTTGAACACAGTTAAGAAGAACTACCTGTTGTTGGAAATATTGCCACAAAAACACAGAACAAGCAGTCAAAGAGTAACAGTGCGCTGGCAATTGACGTCAGTCTGCTGTGTACTGGACAATGACTGCACACCATTCTTGGGATGTTCGGTGCAGTGCATTGCCTTTCAGGCATATGACAAGGACTGCCTGGACATGTGTTGTGGATGGAAGTTTCTGATGCGCTTCAGCTCCTGTGATTTGCGCTGTTAGTGGTGGTCCTGATGTTGCAACCGCATGGGGTGTGCTATGCAGGATGACCAGATACACAACCAGTTTTCTTTGAGACAGTTCAGATGAACCAAACTACCAGGCTTGGCATTTGCGGCACAAACACTTTTCTATGTATGGCTATTTCCGTGTAAAAATGGTTTTTATATTTTACAGGTGAATAGCCATAAAAATACGTAAAAATGCACCCTGTGTACTTAAAGACAGTACATACAGAATCAGGGAGTCCTGGAAGTGGCAGCTAGACATGCTGAAGTATGCACAAAACGATCTTTTGCTTGGCGACATCATTGCCCTTGCTGTGGGCGAGGTGTTTGCTGTGTTGCCGGTGATAGTGGAGGATTGATCTTCTTTAGTTGGGACATCATCTTGTAATGTGGGCTGTTCGACGAACTGTAAATATGCATAGATATGGCCGTAAAAATGGCTGTTCTTCTATTACGCGGTTTTACGTGTTGAAATGTAAACGTAAAAATGGAGCCATAAAGGTAATAACCAAGCCTGCAAACTACCACAAAACCAGCTATTTGAGAGGTGTGGATACTGGGTGGAGACCTTGGAGTATCGTTGTAATGCAGCGATCAGCGACGTCTCCTGCCTTTTGCTTTTCTTTGATCACCATCACTCCATGTGGGCCACCTCGCGTAGGATATGTTGATAGTGTATTACTCCCTCTGTCGTTTTGCAGAATGTCTGTCTCCTGAAAGTCTAGCATTTCAATTTTGGGGTACACTGACAGCTCAAGAGAACACCAATTGGCAAAAGAACAGTGGTAGCAGTCGGATTCCAGCCAATCTTCGTGTCTTCCACTCACTGTCTCACAAGAGCAAGGCCGGTGTGCTGTGGCCCATTCTGATGACTGCCATGACAACAGTTACCAACAGTTGTCAACAGGAGTGCTCTTCATGTTTGAAAACACAGGCTGGGAATGACGCTGGCCGATGCCACGGCCAAGAGTCCTTTTCTGGAGCAAATGGACCGTCGCCGAGAATGCAGTCGATGCAGGCCTCCATGAACGCCATGCGCCGAAAATTGACTGCAGCCAATGAGAGCCTGCAAAGGATGACGGAAGATAAGGACAGGGCTCAGGTTGGCGCGCACATCTGCATTTAGACTGGCTAGTGTTCGCCACGTTCAGCAAGGATCAAAGGCACCCAGCGAACGCTGTAATCCTGCAGCTGATATTGTGGTATTGTTACTGAAAGTTGCAGATTCTTTAGTGTTTAGTGCCCTCTGAAGTAGTTTGGTTTTGAAAACTCTGACACTGAACTACTGGAGGAACTTGCAGTGGTGGTGAAGAGGTTGCATCTTTAAGCTAAAGCTGTGGAACAATGCAGAGAAAGGTGGCCTTGACTTTCATTGTATTGAACAGGAAAAGTCTTGCTAGGCACATGCAGCCCCTGCACAGCTTGCACTGACAAGATGTGTGTGTGGCGAGATTTCACGAAAACGAAGAACCAATCCAGATGTACACTACAGTAGTAAGTTTCAATACTTTATGAAAAAGATGACGAGCCATCGCTGTTGCAACTCGATCTTGGGGGTTCTGGGGCTGGCTGCATTGTAATGTTTTGAACAATTGACTTCGTATAATTCAGTTAAATGTCTGCATTTAGGGTTCAGTGCACTGATTCGCCAAATGGCAGAGCACACTGTGCTATGCACGATTGACTTCGTGTTTCTGAAGGTGTAATTCGAGTGAATAGCAGTTCAGTTCAGTGCTGCCCCTACACTTTTTTTGGTGACGTCAGCACTGCCCACACTACCAAGTGTTTCTTAAAATTCACTGCCACCAATAACATTGACCTAAGCATCGGCAGTGTACGTTGTTCTATTTCACTCCACCACGTCAGTCATACCTTTCCCTTCACGCTTCATACTTGAAAGGCGCCCAAACACAGGGACATTCATAGGGACACAGGGACCTTCCTGTGGCTTAAAGTGGTCACCATACACCAAACCATAAAATCAAGCCACTAGGCAGAAAGAGATTTCACAAGAGACACACAGGGAATAATATGCCAGTGTTCTTGTACATAGGAAGAGGCAAGGCTTGCCAGAGAGGATCGTGCTGCTTTGGAGCAGACTTGCGACGAGAGGCAGCAGCTCCTTGTCCGTGTGCAAAGGGAGCTTGTAGAGTCTGACAAGCGGCTGAAGCTGGCGGAGCGAGGAGCCGAGGCAGCGCGCAAGGCTGAGCAGGAAATCGAGCGCTTCAGGCAGCGGGAGGCGACCCTGCTGAAACTGGATGAGGACCTCAGGGCAGATGGGGTGCATCTAAAACAGTGGGTAGAGTGGTGTTTGAATCTGTCATCGATTGCAGTTGTCAATCGTCAATTTATGAACAGAGTAATTGATTGATCAATTGTGAACAATTGAATGAAGCGTTGCCCTTTCTCCTGTGCAGCATGCAGTTCCATTGGGCACGTTCGTCAAAAAGCCATTCCAGCCAAGTATCTAGCACCCTTGTGGACGATGACCAGCGGGGAAACATCCAACCACTATGTGTGGATATACATGATACAGTTTGGCTTTGTTCTGTTTTAGTGAATGTAACTAATGTGGAATTCCATGCTCTCCAAGCGCCCCGCTATGTTGTATGTGCGATGCTGCTGGAGGGCGTCCAATTATTGCCTTGAGATCTGTGCCAAAACTATGACGCAATCACAGCCACAACAGCTTGCACACCTGACACTCTGGCCTCAAACTGACGCTCTGCCGGCTCTGTTCGGAGATATAGGCGATTTGGAAGATCTGATGGGCACAGTTCTGTGTGGCACTGTAACAGTGTGATACTTTCAAGGAGCCCTTGTGGAAGAGTGGTGGAACAACTTGTGTAAAGTAAGAAGCCTTGCACCACTCTTCCCAATCAGTGTCTTCTGTGGGCAGGATGCTCCAGCTGAAAGAGTCAAGGCTGCAGGAGGTAGAATCGTCCCTGGAGCATCTCATCAGTTGTGTGCGAAATGGGGTCCGGTCATTGACAAACCGCCATGCTGCCGATGATGATGTCTCTGTGCTGGCGATGCTCAGCAACTCAGAGGTCAGACGCCCCCCCATTGGATCGTTTCTGCCAAGTGCAAATCCCCATTCGCTGCACTTTTTGTCTTCGTCGCCATAAGTGTCTTCTCTTGCTCTCCTCATGGGGCTGTCACAGTCCGTGGATTTTCATTGGATCGCACATCTGATACACACATGCCTCCCTTCTTCATGCTGTGCATCGGGTTCGCCCCGCAGAATTCTGACACCAAATGTGATTGTTGCAGCCCATGCCTCATGCGGCAGATAGGATCTCCAAAGAGCTTCATGCCGCGAATGAAACTCGTCACCAACTCGAAGACATGCGTTCCCAAAGGGACGTGGTGGCAGGGCGGCTCGAAGACCTGGCAAGGGAGCACCAGGCCCTGCAGTCCAGCCACGCTGACAGCATAGCGGCCCGGGAGAAGCTGTCCAGTCGCGTGGACGATCTGCTGTCTGAGCTGGAAGACTTCAGGGTGATCAGGTGACCTGATCAATACAAAGTAAAAGCAGATAGACTTTGCGGTTGTCGGGTGGCCTGATCAAATACAAACTTTAATTGAATGCCTTTTCAGGAAATGTGGCACAAGCAAGTGCTGTAAGTTCTGTGAGCCTTCTGCCACTTTTCCAAACGTGGGCTGGTTGGGGCAATGCGGCGCCATTATTTTGGTGCAAATGATGACATGCACCTTGCTCCTAGTGAATATCATTTATGCTCTGTGCAATTTTTGCTATTCCGTTTGATACCAGTCATGCCATTTAGTAATATTGTTTATTTGTGTGTTTAATGCATGACTAGTTTTTAGTTAGTTTATTTATTTATTTATTTATTTATTTACTTATTTATTTATTTATTTATTTATCTATCTATCTATTTGTCTATTCTGTACTGCATGACAAACGCTGGATGGCATTGGGGCCAGGATTGCCCTGAGTACTGTTGACGTGTCCTATACATGCTGACTTGTACATTATGCAACGCATGAATTTCGCTCTGCTCCAATAACATGCAGGGACATGTAAACCATGAGCCACCTTGCGCTACCTTGTACTATCAGGTTGGCTCTTTCTGCTGGGATGCATTCATTCACAAAAAGCACTGCCCTTGCACCTGCAAGGTGATCACAAGATTGTGATGATAGTACACAACTTTTGTGCAATGCATGCACTTTGAAGTGTTGTGTGTTGTGATGTGGTTATTATCAGTCAGCATCATCATCGTTTGGCAGTCTATCTTCATGTCCACTCTGTTGCAAAGGCCAGGGACCATTCTGCCTCAGCAAAACCTGCCTTGCTTATGCTCTCAATTTCCTCTTTCTCACCCTGTGATTGTCGATCTTGACTGGACAGCCTGCCAGATGCGAACAGGAGGACCTGATGGTGGAGCTTGAGGGCCTGCGCGCCCTCATCCAACAGACCCAGTCCGAGTTTCATGCCTGCCAGGCAGAGCGCGACAGGCTCGTGCATGAGGCGGCCACCCAAGCAGGCCAGCTGCGCAGCGAGCAGGAGGAGAGGGGCCATGCAGTCGCTGCCCGAGACTGCCTTGCTGAAAAGGTCGCTGCCCTTGAGCGGAGGCTGCAGGAGGAGGGGGACGAGAGACAGAGGGCGGCAGCGGGCCGAGACAGGGAGAGGGCGAGGGCCAAGGAGCTGCAGGGCAAGGTTGAAGGGCTGCAGGTTGTTGCTCATTTTCTATGCAATAATGATCGAGTGCTGTTAATGTTGTCCATGGCAAGGCAACAACGTGCTGCAGCCCCATTGTGCCACATCCAGCCTCGTGCTTTGTGGCGGAAGTGCTGTGCAGCTGGCCCAGCATTGTACCAGCAGCCTCATGTACAAGTGTCAGTGCTTGATACAAGGAGTGACGGGAAGAGCTGCAGGCTG